GAAATTCTTCACTGTTCGAGCAAATCTAACACTGTAACCTTTGCAAATCTGATGTTTGGATTGATAAAAAGGAAATGCAAAACTTCTTGTATCGCTCCTCATTAAAAAATTGTCATAATAGTTTGTTGTAATAATAATATTACTATTATATAATAATAAAACTGTTGTAATAGTTTGTGTGGTTTCTTTTATTTGAGAGGGAGGTTAAAGAGAAAAAAATTGGCTTACCCTGTGTTACTTTAACTGTTAGGTTATAGGCCGCACATTATGAAGAAGATGAACAGACCCTTTTGGTAGTCTATCATTAAACCGTTTTAATGATTTCCTTGCACTGACAAGCAGAACCTCCTGCTATGATGTCGCTCTCAGTATTTTATTTAACCATTTGTATAGTACTCACACTCTCTGTAAGAGCCGCTTAAATGATGCTAAACCTGTAAAGTTCTGTTTAGGTAGCTGTGAGCACAACATTGAACCCGAGAGCCTGATTAAAAACTAGGACAGGACAGCTTTCAACAGAAGCCCTCGTGTTAGTGGATTAACGTCAGTGCTGATTACATAAGAAACAAAACACAGTGCAGCCTTCTTGACTAGTAAAAAACAAGGCGCCAGAGATGAATATTAAAAAAAGAATCGACCTCATGCCCCGCGTATAGTGTCTTTTTTTCCATGTCTGTATGCTGAAAAAACAAACTCCATTCACTGTGGAGTGCCCTGCACTTTAAGAAGATGGGATTAGAGATGATTGCAGGGATTCGATGATGACGAACTCTGTTACACCAGCTGTTGGGTCTTTTAGTTCCTAAGCTGCTTTACTATAGTGTGTTGGCGTGTGTATAAAGGGATGTTTTTTTGTGTGTATTCCATGTGATCATTAAGTGATACAGCAAATTAGTATGTGAGCACTGGAAAAAAATTCAAGTCCTCTTCTGACTTCAGTCATATTCTTTAGGTGTACAGTGAAGTTCCACAATATGCTGTTGAAGTTCATCAGGTGAACTAGACTAAGCTTCTTGTTGTATGCCTACCTTCAGATTTTCCATAGTAGCTGGGAATGTGCACACACACACACACGTGTACAATGCATACCATTTCTCCTTTGTTGACTTTTTCTTTAAATGTATTGGCAGAATTATTTCCTATCACATTAATTTTTGCCACAACTACAGACAATTTTAAAAGCAGTGTGGTCCTTTAAAGGCGTGTACTATAGACTGTTTTTAGTTACAGCTCACTGTACATAGTTACATAGTACGTTCCTGTTTGAGTCATGTGAATGAAACCATCTGAAAAGGTGTATACAGGTTTTTGTTCCCCACTCCTTATTGCTCAATTGGAGTGGTTAGATTGTGTATTTGGAGAACAGTGGGTTGGGACTCTCCCCTTCAGACAATTTGTCTCAATTGGGTTGCCTGCTTTCACAATTTGTACAATTGTCTGTGTTTAGCAATCCACACATATTGGAATCATTTGCAAAACACTGGTTATTTGCTCACTTTTTGTAAAGGAATTCTGTTTTGCTTTGATTTTCGTTGTGTAGTCTCACCCTTCTATAAAAGTATTTGTGCTGCGGCTACAGAACTTAAATAGTTTTACAGTATAAGAAAAAGAAGGATGCGTTCATCACAGAATAATGGCAGGGGTCTTAAGACGGAAGAAAAATGCTAATACATTCATTTTTTTATATTCATAACATTATTACAGTACATGACTAAATAATGTTAAAATAGAGGTCTATATCACTATGTGCCACTGAAATATGGATTTGTTATTCCAGTCAACAGACAACAGGATATACTGAGTGACTTGGACTCTGATCCCCAACACCGTTATCTTGGGACACTTAATCTTCCGGTCTAAGGTGAATTTATACATTTACATAAATCACAGTTTTTAAAATATGTATTTAAAATGAACATTTATGATTCATAGGAGTCTTTGGCTTAGTAACGGTACGTTTCCTTTGAACTGAAAAAACAATGGGCATCTAACATCAACACTTTTTTTTTAAATTAAGAAAATAAACCTTTTTACAACAATGTACACATGCATGCACTCTCCCAAAGAATAGACGTCAACTTTATACTGTAGGTTTTAATATTATTCTGACATTGTTTTTCCTTTGGACACCGAAAACATGAATTATGAGCATAAAGTAAGAAAGAATCTCTGAACATAGGTAAGTTAATAGAGAAGGATGACCAAAAAATAACTGAGACAAGACAAGAGATACAATTTCATGTCATCAATGAAGGGGTTAGATTATTTTGTCTTTATATGGATTTCTAGAAACATTTAGTGAACCAGACCCAGAGGAATTGCACAGTATAGTATGTTCTGTTGAAGTCAACAGAAGCACTGGTGTTTTCAGTTCACATGGTGGAACAGACCAAGGCAGTCTTGCCTGTATTTATTAATGCAGATGTACACTTGGAGATTATTATTAGGTCATAAATATCTTTACAGGTTTTTAACACAGTGTATCGATTCTCTACAACTCTAGTGAATATCACTACTTGGCCTTTAGCAGGGCCCCTGAAACCTTGTCGATTTCAAGTCCAAAGATGATTTTCCTTCATTTCACTGGAAAAAAACGCCCGCTAAACTGTGCGTCCGATAGCGCTGGCAATGGACTTAGTTGAAAATGAATTTAAAAAAAAAGTGCTGTGTTTGTTTGCACGAATTTCAAAAGCAAACAAAAAAATGCATTTGATTTGTTTGCCAATTAATATATTTAGGCTCTGTATGGCTTTTCAGTGTTGACGTTTAAGCTTTCCTAGCGCTGTAGGTGGTGGAATGGAAAAGGGGACACTTTTCGTTTTCTGCAGACACAGGAGGAACTACTAATTGAACCCATTTGCCATCGGTGGAGCCTCATCTTTCCTCTCATGACCAGGGACTTGTGCACAGCAGCCTTTTCCTCCAGAAGGGGCTCTGGCAGCTGCCCTCTGATGCTTTGCTATGGTCTAGTTCTGGTGGCTCTAAACGACATCTATTATAAAAATCGGTGCTAACAGATGTGTAATCGTCCTATGCAATATATGGAACACCCTGGATAAAAATAGCCTTTAAAGTAATAGCCTATATTTTCATGGCTTACGTAACTGTTAGAGATGCAGCAGGCTAATTTCTAATCCCCCAGTGAGGAAGATTGGAAGAATAGCGCTGTGCACTATATAAACAGCTGCTTGGTTTTCCACTTGTGTTATCACATCATTTATTTCATGTCGCTGAATTCAACAGCACTGGGCTTATTCAGTGCCAAAAGGATTTTTCTTTTTTTTTAACATGTGTATGGTATGACAGACTGTTTGGGTATACCAGTGAGCTTGGAATTTTGTATTTATTTTAATTATGGTTATTTATGATTAGACAATGTTGCAGAAGTATTAACCCCCTTTCATTTACTATGTCCTATTTGGCTGGAGTTCAAATGGTGTATATATATTTTTTATATGTTTTTTTTTTAAATCAAACCTTAAATGCTCAAACTGAGCTTGTTTGCAAAGAAAACTAATGTAAGAGTGGACTGGTTTAATTTTTTCATGTTTCATTGTTTGGCATTGTCCATCTTGTTACTTCTCTCTTCTTTTAATTTAGTGGCTCATTTGCCATTTTTCACAATGTAACTACTGTCAGTACACTAAAGATGTCGAATAAAAAGAGGTAATGGTACAGGTAAAGGACATAGGAAGACCTTTTCCTGTGAAATGAAGATATTAATTAAACTGTTCTGTGCATTTCCCAGCTATCAAAACCAGAATGGTGGTATTCTGAAATTGTCATTCATTTGAAATCTCTTTATATTGTAAGTCATCTCAGTAGTGGCTGTGGCAGAAAGTCTCTAAACACTATGAGGTGTACTAGGCTGATTTGCTTCATTTTATTCTGAGCAGCCATCAGTGGAACAGCATGACACATAAGGTTTAGGCTACAGGAGAGGGAAGCTTTTATCTCTCTCACAATGGATTTCCATCTGGACTTCCTGTTATGAAGCTCGCTGCTTTCCCAAAACAACATCCTACTGTGGCTTTATTTACACTGGCATCCCGTGGCATTTCAAATTGATTTTTAAATGCTATTTACTGTTTCCAAAATAGTCCTTCTCCACCTCGTACCTCCAGGAGAGCTGTGGTTTTTGCATTTTCCCAGAAACTCCCCCGTCTTCACAAAAGCCTACTTACTGTCTTGAAATAATCAGATTATCACTGAGAATTGTCTGGGGTCTGGGATCGTATTTATTTACCTGCCTGCAGTTACCCTTGGATTGCTTTTTTTGTGATGTTTAAATCTGGTTTCGACAAGCCTCTTCTTTTCTCTGACCACAAGACGGTGAATAATTTTGGAAAGGCAGCACCACCTGACGATTTATTTTTGTTATATTGGCGCAATAAAGCAGAGAGTGTGTAAGATGCAATACATTTGCTGTGATGTAGAAGAACAATATTTACCATAACTGAAATATGACCGTGGCCACAAGGTTGGTTTAGCTGCTGTCTGAGTGAAGATTAAAAGCATCCCTTAGCAGCAGGATAGCTGCGAAAGAGTAATTGGGTTTTACTGTGCTGTACATCTCAATCCTGTGTGGGGCTGTACATCATACAGTATATACTGCACATTACATGTAAAAACTGTGTACTGTACCTCTCTGTCCCCTTACCCTTTCTTCGTTCTGTCAGTCAAAATCAAAAACCAGTCAGGATGACTTTCAAAGCTTTTGGCTCTAGGTGCAGAACTTCTCCACTTTTCTTAATCAAAAGGAAACCACCTCTATTTGAATGGACATGCAGTATGCATGTTTAAATTTGAGTGATTAAACATGAATTTCTCCTTTCCATTGGTCAGCGTTTTTTTTTTTCCTAGCATCTTTAAGCTTTTCCAGTCTGTTTGGAAGGATGGCCGAGGACGTGCTCTGGGCGCAGACTGCTTTGAAAGCTGTCCTGTAGGCAGACGGTGACAGTGTTGGGTTTTGACCTCATTGTGATGGCATTTTGTTGCAGTGTGCTGGAGAGGAGAACTGGGTGGACAGCCGGACAGTGTACATCGGCCACAAGGAGCCCCCGCCTGGAGCAGAGGCCTACATTCCCCAGAGATACCCAGACAACAGAATAGTCTCCTCTAAGGTAATGCAAAGTCGACACGAGCGCTCAAGTGCGCTTAGGTCACCACTAAGGCTGGCAAAGAAGAAACAAAATCCTTACAATTATATAGCACTCTTCTGGACACTCCACCCAAGGGACTTTGTAGGTAATGGGGATTGTGCTCCACCTGGATGATGCGACGACAGCCATAGTGCGCCAGTATGCTCGCCGCACACCAGGTCTCAGTGGGGAGGAGAACAGAGTGATGAAGCCAGTTCATAATCGGGATTATTAGGAGGTCATGATTGGTAAAGAGCAATGGGAAATTTGACCAGGACACTGGGGTAAGACCCCAACTCTTTTTGAGAAACACCCTGAGAATTTTTAATGACCACAGAGAGTCTAATCAGAACGATGGCACCATTTTTACAGTAAGGTGTCCCCGTCACTATACTACGGTATTAGGATCCACACCAGTTGCAGGGTGAGCTACCCCTATAGGCCCCACCAAGTTATACAGCAGCAACCTTAGATTTCCCAGGAGGTCTCCCATCCAGGTACTGGCCAGGCTCACACCTGCTGAGTTTCAGTGGATTGCCACTTGAGTTGCAGCATCATTTACAACATCTGAAGAAAGTTTTAATTGTTTTTAGGCATTTAATAGTGATTAACACTGTCTTTCAGCAGATTTCAAGTGATCCTAGTGATTATCACTGTTCATATTTTCTTAACAGAGGCCATCATTTTATAGTAGTCCAAGGTTCACTCTTGTAAGCAAGTCCTGTAAACAAGAAGACAGATGAATGTTAGGAGCAGTCAGATTTATTGCAGGTGAATGTAGTATACTACTACTTTGATATAGCCAGTACAACGCTCCATGGTGTCAGTCTAACCCAGACATTTTTCCTTCCACAGTACACTTTCTGGAACTTTGTACCGAAAAACCTGTTTGAACAGTTCAGAAGAATTGCAAATTTTTATTTCCTAATCATTTTCCTTGTGCAGGTAAGGTATTTTGCTCGTTTGCTGTTTTCATAGACGAAATGCATGTTCCACAGAAGATGTTTCAAAATTATTCCGAGAGTCACTTTCTTGACATGCTAAGATAAAACCTTTCAACTTTCTCTTTTGACTTACACCCTGCCTTCTTGTTTTGTCTTGATAATTGTGCAACAGTTGCTGATTACAGTGTTTGTTCCTTGTTGGCTCTGTTCCAGTTGATTATTGACACTCCGACTAGCCCCATCACTAGTGGACTTCCACTGTTCTTTGTGATTACAGTCACTGCCATCAAACAGGTGAGAGAAACCTGAGAGAGGTTCGTTCAGGTTGAAAAGGTGAAGGCGAAATGGCAAATCTTTGTCTTAACCCCGCTGTTAAGATAACACACGCACAACCAAGCCCTCAGAGCAGAATGGTCTTGCAGTTAATGGCGGTGAGCCAAAGCACACTACAGAAAGTACAAATGTCTGCCCTGGATAACCATGCAGTTTGGCTGCAGTGGCTCCAGTATGCTGCTGCATTTGTTTGAATTCTGACCAGTGAAGACTGTTGGAAAAAAGCAAACAGCTTTCATCACCTGCTGAGCTGACTTTGTAATGAAGTACGGTACTTGTTTGTATAGAGAAAAAAGAAAATTAAGGGGTTTCATTTCACAAGCACTTGAGTTAACCGGGAGGAATGCAGTAGCTGTGTCAAAAGGTGTTATGCTTTCACATTAAGCTCACTTTTGCTCTGTAACTTCCAAATACCATTCTTAGGCGAGACAAATCAAATTCTATAAAGCTTTTCTAGATGTATTTTCTACTGTATGCGTTCTAAATTGTTAATTTGCTAATGAACATCTAATACTAAAGGAGTGTTTTTTCCATTTCCAAGGATTTGCAACTTGAAGCTTTAATTCCAATCCTAAGAATTCCAGGTTTCCCCAGTGAAGCCAAGGCTCATGTTTGTCAGCAGGTTTCACTGACAGACAAGGTGTTTCATTGTATACAGTGTTGCCTACGGTGAACCTGTCACGCAGATTATCATTCTTGAGCCTGTGTAGGCATCATGTGTATTAAGCACCTTCAGAGCAAAACAGCATCTTTGTTGTCAGTTTTTAATATCTCTTAGCATCAGTGTAAACATATGTCACCTTGCATAGCGATCAGCTGTAATCCTTACGGCTAACGTCTTTGTGAGATGCGCCGAGAGGCAGCGTTAATGGGCACATCAAATGACAAACTAGCACAGGTCCGTGATAGTGATATGATACTGTTAGACTGATGTGGTTCTTCGAACTGATATTTTGTCAAGTGGGTCTGACAAGTGACATTTGGCTGTGTAGTCTTGCAATTCCCCTCCTGCACAAAAACCTCAGTTCTGTGTGTATGCATAGCATCACATCTGATTGGAAGTTCGAAAACGTTCTGCACTTTGCTTCAGGGTTTGGCTGGTGTGTGTGTAACTGTTTTGGGGGGAACACTGTGGGATAGCATTTAAAATTGGGAACAGAAGGTGCATTTGCAGAAAGGTTTGTTTGAATCTGGAACATGCTACCTAACCCTGATATATTGGAATCCTAAGATCAAATAGCTTCTAATTGGGCTAAATGTCACGGGTTACAAATGAGAGGACATGTCTTTAAGGCATTCATGTTTAAAAACGTACATTCTTATAATTCTTAATGTTAAATGAATTAATATTATAATTGAACTACCATTTTTGAGAGGAATTTGTAAGTTGTGTGTATATATTGTTACAAGTGGAGGAAGTGTTGAAGGTTTAGCTTGAGGTTTAAAAACACCAATTGTAATTAATAGGGAGTTGTAAGGTGAAATCATGCTTTGACACTTTGACACCTACTTGCCCATTAATCATATTTCTGTAAGTTAAATAGTAAAACTCCCCTCTCCTCAGGGAATTTGAGTTTGGTAATGTGGTTTCTTTGTTCCTCTGTAGTGTGAGAGTCAAAGAAAGGCCAACAAAAAGATGCAGTCATGTCCACAGATCAATGACCAAAAACACAAAGCACACTGAATTTAATTTACAATATTTATGACAAGCATGGGTGTCTAAGCTCAGACATGTTATAGAACCACTAACCCACCTTGATCTCACTGTGATAAACATATCTCCCTATACCAAAAACCCGGAAAAAGAGAGGTTTCTTTTTCCTAGTAAATAACTCAAAGGGGAAATAAAATTTCCACAGATGAAAAAACAGCCCCCTCTTTTTAGATTTAAAGTCAGTGCGATTTGTGGTGTGAGTTTTCTTTTTCACTGAGAAGCCTAAAAACTGTGGAAAACTTACCCATGAAAGATGGCTTCACCTCATGTCAATAATGCTTTTCCTCAATGGCAGAGAGAGGGAATGTTACAGTGACATAACCTCTGATACACTGAGCTGGTATCTTAGATCAGCTGTTCATCTCTTAGCTTGACATTTCATTGCTGCATTAGGACATCTTTGGTCTCTAGCTCAAAGAAGATCTTGGGTTCAGACCATTGAACAATCCAATGATTGCAGGCCACCGCAGTATTGTGTGTATCTGTCTTGTCTGTTTTCCAGGGATATGAAGACTGGCTCAGGCATAAAGCAGACAATGCCATTAATCAGTGTCCTGTCCACATCATCCAGCATGGCAAAGTGGTGAGAAAGCAGAGTCAGAAATTACGAGTAAGTGTCCCCAGTCAAAGGACAAACACCGTCCTGGAGAAGTAAAAAACGTGCATAATGGCCTGGATCCACTTGCAAAGTAATAGAGGAAAGACCAAATCCAGAGTTATAGTGACAAGTGCAAAGAAAATGCTTCTTAGAATCCGTGTTTTGTGTGTTTGATTTACAAAAACAGTAGTAAATAGTATAAAGGTGAAAATACAATCATACAGATTATGATCAAAAAGGCAGGCTGTATATAGTGAAATATAAAACAGATGTTAAATTATTTAAAATTTAAAGCATTTTAAAACGTGCTGATTATTCTGTTTGATTAGCTTAATTTTTAAGTGAATGAATCAATTTCAGTTTGATTCTGTCTTCTGCAAATGAATGATGAGGAGTTCACAGGCTGGGTTTTGTCAAGGTGCTGAGGTTGCATGGATTTGAGTGCATGCTAGTGATTTTTCAAAAATTATGCTCATGGCTTATGGCACCTATAAGGCTCTGCATGGCTTGGCACCTCAGTACCTGTCTGAACTATTATCGCCCTACTCCCCACCTCGCAACCTTCACTCTTCTAATTCTGGTCTCCTAACTGTCCCCCAAGCCCATCTACATTGTATGGTTGACAGGTCCTTCTTCTGTTATGTCCCCAAACTCTGGAACTCTCTCCCCAAGGATATCAGAGAGTCACCTACTCTAAACTCCTTCAAATCCAGACTGAAAACCTTCTTCTTTAGAAGAGCCTTTGCTTAACTGGTTCCATTATTTACCCCTCTGCTCCTACTATACTTAGTACCACCATCCACCGTCTCCTCTGTATATTGTAATTGTGTTTTATCTTGTGTATTCTTTTTATTTATTGTTGTTGTCATTCTGTAAAGCGCATTGAGAAGCAACCTTTAAAAGTACTATATAAAATTATTATTATTATTATTATTATTATTACTTAATGGGTATAATAAAGTAGTAGATCCTTTGGTGGAATGCTGTAGGGAGCTCCACTGTAAGTACGTGACTGCATTGGAGTTGGCTGTTTTTATTTCAAAAGTAAGGTTTTATCTGAAGTATGTGCACTCTTCTGTGGCCTTGGTTTTCTTTTATTCATCCGGAAATTTGCATACATTTACATCTTGGAAAGAGTTTATGCAGCTCTCATTAAAGCATCATCTTTGTTAAGTGAGCCAGGTCCTGTGAGGAAACATGAATAACAATCAAATTAATGTTCAGGGCTATTCATTACTTTATACTACAGGCTTTACCTGTGACAGCAATTTAAATGAAAGTGCATTGCTCAGCTGGATACGGTCAGGGATTTATTTATTATAAAACCATGCTGCCTTGATACTCTGTTATGTAACTTAGATCCTCTGTAAAATGAATATACAATCCTCTATAATGCGGTGAAATTTGCCTGGATTACTCGGTTAGTCATTTGTGTTGTGCTTGATCATGAAGTGCAGGTGGGGTGGGTAGCACGATTACACTTAGGTGTTTCCTCAGCTCTTGGATTCTGGGTTTGATTCTGGACTGGGGTGCCCTCTGTGTGAAGTTTGCATGCTCTCCCTTTGGCTGGTTGAAATTTCTCTGGGCGCTGTGGTTTCTCCCCACAGTCTAAAGACATGCTCTTCTGATTTCCTGGCATCTCTAAATCGCCCTCTGTGTGAGCGGTCAGGAGAATGTGTGTGTGCCCTACAATGGAGTAAAATCAAATTCTGTGTGTACTGACCTATACCACCTTCCTGCTCGGTTAAGCTGTGGCTTAGATAAAGCTGTCACTCAAGCTTGAAGCATACTGTAGATTGGCGAAAAGCAGGTTTGGACTATTGAGGAATTAAAACGTACAGTACCTGAAGGGTTCTTTGAGAGTATATATTCATTTGCTTTGCAGGATTGTTTGGGGTACAAATGGAAAGTTGGTTGTGTGAGCCTTAATATTTATACAGTGCAACCTGTCTATTTGGGGACCAAAATAAAACAATACTTTTGTCAGGTTGTCAGATTTGTCACTTTTGTGTTTCTGTTCTCAGGTGGGAGACATCGTGCTAGTTAAAGAAGACGAAACCTTCCCCTGTGACCTAATTTTCCTGTCGTCCAGTCGAGAGGATGGGACGAGCTTCGTCACAACGGCCAGTTTGGATGGAGAATCCAGCCACAAGGTCAGAACAGTGACTTCAGACTACACGGGGAATTATCTGTTAAATACATTCTTGCTTTTGTTTTTGGGGAAAGAACACATTTGACACGCTTTTCAACCTAGCATGCACAGTACTTTCTGCCTAACATTTGACTTTTGAGTGAGTTTTTGCATTTTGTTGAAATTATTTAAAAGGTAATAGTTGATACAAGGTACAGTAGGTAGAACTCCTCCAGAGTTGCCTTTTGAAGGGCTTTTATAAATGCAGAATATGAACTGTCCTTTTTTTAACAGATTTGGTTTTGTACTTATTTTGCTTTTTTTTTTTTTGTGGTCCTGGCATGTACTCCAGTTTGTCTCCAAAACACAAACTGTCTTTCTTAAGAGCGATTACCTGTTATTGTTTAACTAGGGGACTGTTTCTTCATAATGCTGCAGATTTTCAGTTAATATCCCAAAACACATCTGAAGATGCATTAATGATAAAGGGAACTTATGTAAACATCACATTGGAAGAAAAAAAATTAATAATATATTATTATTTTAAATAATGAAAATGAATTAAAATAACGCAACCAGGGTATTTGAATGCTGAGATTGTATTGAGGGATTTTAAACAGGAAAGAAAACATTATTTTTTGTATTATTACTCATCTGAAGACTGAAATAAGGAGGATATAGAAGCACAACATTTTGTTTTAGTTTGAGTTGATTTCTTTTGAACACCTTTCCTCTTTAATTTGACCTACTTCACAATAATTTGAACGGTTGGTTCACAATCTCTCTTTGGTGGAATAGTTTCATAACGGTAAAAAGGCACGTACACAAAAACATCACGAAGTGTACACAAAACCGAATACAACACAATCTATTAGAAAAGATAAGTCCATAGAAGTAAAGGACTGGTTTAAAAAAAAACAGTAACCTTTGAGGTGTTATCAAACACTGCAATTTGCACAATAGCCTTTCAACATGACTGTTTCACAACTCTCGAGAGGTGTACCTTTTCCTTAAGATTGGGAACTGGACCCCTGGTGACTGCTTAATGTTCATTGTACATATTGCCATGAATGAAAAGAACTTCTGGCTGTATAAAGGAGGGCCTTAGAAAAGGTGACAAAAAATGGTGCTCCTCAGTGCTCAAGACACCTGTATGGTGCCTTGAGAAAAGGGTTCTTGATGTTGTAGGATCTCTGGCAGCTGTGACGTGATATCCTCCGGGCTGGAATAGATGTGTGGGAATAGAAAATTGTTTCTCAGTAGAGCTTTGTAATCACTGCTGTAACTAGCAGGGAAAAACAAGGCCTTGTGAAGAGGGATGTATTGATTTTGTATGTCAGGGACAGACCCACAAGTTTGTCACAAAAATTTTAAGGCCTTCAAGACAAAGAACATAAGAGCAGTTCCAGATGAGAAGGCCATTTGGCCCATTTACCTCATTTGCTAGTTTTTTTTACACAGTATGAATTCTGACAAGTGTGCTGTAGATAATATCCTGCTGTTCAGATGCTCATTTGCTCTCACAGCCCTTTGGTACGGATGTGTCCAAGTTCATAATACATGATTCTTTTTGTTCCTTTGCTGGCTTTACTGTTAAGACGTATTACGCTGTTCAAGACACAAAAGCATTCAACACGGAAAAAGAAGTGGACTCTCTCAGAGCAACCATTGAATGTGAACAGCCTCAACCTGACCTTTACAAGTAAGTGACATAAAAATGGCCTTAACTCCAGCATAGACTGAGGGAACATAGTTGTACCACAAGGAATACTTAGTGTGTGCTTTGGTTTCACTAGGATTTTTAAGAAATAATTATTTTTTAGACCACTAACAGATGGGACTCATTAAAAAAAATCCTCTTCTTGTGCATTATCAGGGTTCCTAATTGGAATATGTGTGTTTCTAACTTAACATTGTATGCAAATAGTTCAATAAATAACAAATACAAAATAACAAAATACATCAGACTTCACTATGTATGTCTAGCAGCTACACTCTGTAACTGTGAAATTCGTCACATGTCTGCATGTAAAAGCAAATACAGCATAATTCAGGATTTGAACAGCCCTGATACAGATTATGTTAAAACTTCAGTGTTCAACAAAAGAAATAGTTTCCACTATAGGGAGACTTCCTCCAGACTGTGGTAGCAGTGGCTGGGAATCTCAGTGTCCGTGCTGAATTGGTCAAGCCAGTCAGACAGGCGGTGTTGTTCTGTTTTTATAGCAGCGGAAGCTATGAGAAGTGGGATCACTATTGTTTGATACCTGACAGTGAGCCAAAGCCTCTGTCTATGTAACACGTAAAGCCTTAACAGTTGTTGCCAAGCTTTGTAAGGCAGTATTTGTTATAATATCACCAGTTATGCTGACGATCCAGAAGTGGCAATGAAACGACATTACAAACATTCCGAAGCCACGTTCCGTGGCCTCAGAAAGTAAGGTGGTGATAGTTTGTGGTGGTAGCGTTTTGTAATGGGTGCTGTTGACCCCGCTGTGTGCCAGCCCAGCCTTTTCTTTCTTCCCACAGTAGTGAGACTGGTCAGAAGCTCTTGGCTCAGGGATGAGTTGGCAGAGACAGAGACTGTGTGGCGCAGCCTGTGAGAAAGATCACTTGGAAATGCTAGATGAGAACGTTTGGCAGATGGGATTAGATTACATCTACAATTCTTACAGCAAACATGCTAGGGGAGAGTAGGGAAAGGGAATTGTGCCGAAAGGTCATACCACTGATGTAAATAACAGACACTGACCAGCTTGGTGTATTGGCCACCAATTAAAATTACATGAGAGAATTATTTTGGAATGAAGTTGAATCTTGAATGTGCACAATTTGTTTTTTTAGAGTTCATACCCCTGTTGTGTCTATATTCAGATTTCTGCCCAACTCAGAATGGTGTATTTGTTTTTTGTGTAAGAAAGTTTTCAGTTTCTAAGCTTGGCAAGAAACTGAAAGACTGGGTGAACGCAATGAGTGGAATATGGATAACAACACAGTATTTTCACTTTTTACCCGCTCCTTTTCAGACTACCAACAAAAGTGCACATTGATACAATGCAATCAGCCATCCTTTTAGCAATTTCAAAGAAGTATTGCTATTTCCTGCCATTTGTAATAGAGCTCATCACCACGTTTAATCTGCTTCAAGTGGTTTCAGTTTTTTTTTTTATATGCAGTGGGGGAACGTTACAAAATATTCTTCTTCCATCTTGGTGTGTACATCAACTTATTAAAATGCAAACATTGCATGAGGTGCAATTAAAGAACAGTCTTTTTGGCCTAATATTTCTCAGGCCAGAGGATGATGATAATAATAATAATAATAATATTAATAATAGTAATAATATGTGCTTACACTTTTATATAGCGCTTTTCTGGACACTCCACTCAAAGCGCTTTATAGGTAATGGGGACTCCGTCCACCACCACCAGTGTGCAGCAACACCTGGATAATGCGATGACAGCCAGAACTCCAGAACTCTCACCACACATCTGCTGTTGGTGGGGAGGAGAGCAGAGTAATGAAGCCAGTTCATAGATGGGGATTATTAGGAGTCCATGTGCAGTATGGCAAATGGGAAATTTGGCCAGGACACCGGGGTAACACCCCTACTCTTTTCAAAAAACGCTCTGGGATTTTTAATGACCACAGAGAGTCAGGACCTGTTTTACGTCTCATCCAAAGGACAGCGCCTTTTTTTTCAGTATAGTGTCCCCATCACTATACTGGAGCATTAGGATCCACATAGACTGTAGAATGAGCATCCCCTGCTGACCCAACTAACACCTCTTCCAGCAGGAACCTTGAGTGAGTTGCTGGGTGATATGGCTGTTGGCTGAAGGAAGCTATTGATTATAGAAAAGTGGTAAACAAGAATATTTTAGCTGCCTAGGTCCAAAGTTTTTGTGGGTTTCTGGAGCGTGGCTGCCAATACATGGCAAGAATGCTGTGTACCTGAGTATTAGCAGCTATAAAATCTTTTCAGATGTCAGTAGTTGTAAGGCCTATCAGTCACCTAGAGAGTGTATGTCACAGTGTAGAACATGGTAAAAATAGCAAGCTCGTTAGTCCTTTTGTTTTCCAGTGCAGTAATGCTTTGTACGTAATCAGTACAGACTAGGTATCTTGTGTGAGAGGTTATCAAACCAGCTTTTCTGTTTTATAAATAATTCTCATAATCAGTTGCATATATACTTTTTTCGTAGTTCACAAGGCTTCAATTTTTTTAAGTCCTGAAAAATAATGTACTATACTGATGTATCTTTCTCCAATTAGAATTTGTTTGTTGGTGTCATTGTGTGTTGTAAAAAACAAACAGAATTAAAAGAAAAAAGCAGCCATGGGGTCTGTATTAAAATGTGCAGTTGGGCCTGCTTAAGAGCTTTTATTCAATAGGGAATTTGGTAAGTGGGGAAAAAAATAATAGAGCTTTGTGTTCTGTAGGTACCGACACTAAAATGCATAGAATTAATTAATCTTCATTTCTATTGTTAATGCCCATACTTGAGCGGGAAACCGTCAGTGTCTGGAAAGATATACCCCCATGTCTGCCTTTGCGAAGCATGAAGTGTTAAATAAGTAATGCTGTTTGTTTCGGTGCTGGCTGGCTGAACACATCTTGTTTTCCTCTTGCAGATTCGTGGGGCGCATTAATATTTATCAGGACCGGGACGAGCCCATTGCAAGGTAAATTGGTCTTATTTTTTTCCCTTAGTCAGGCAGGAAATTGATTTTGAATGTAGTTGCCTATTTGTTATTCAAATTATTGCATTGGCTCTTGGGCAGGTGTATCTGAAAAAACAATTCCTGATTTTTGTGTGGCTAAGTCATTCCTAACTTATTTAAAGGTAGTTTTTTCTTAAATAATGAAGAATCTTCACTTTGTATTTTATGGATGATTCACATAACATAGAGATTACATAACAAGCAGATTGTGTTTTACTCTTTGAATCATGTGAAAATTCAATTATAGCAATAACAGTAATCATTTTCATCTTCATGTTCTTATATGACAGTTATATGGAAACACTAACTGGTATTTTTACAGCATGGTGTAAATGTGGCAAAAACATTATTTCAGACCATTTAATTAGATATGTACTTTAATTAGGAGTTCTGTTAGGACAGAAATTGGCATAAATGTCAACTTATTTATAGGCTTCAAAATAAGATAAATTGACAGGAATTTCTTAATCTTTCAACAAAACACTTTAGGCACCAGCAAAGAAATCTGCCCTTTCTTGCATTCTGTTTTTTTTTTTCTCAGAACAGCTTTACATTGATTCATTGCAAAACTACAAGCCAGACTGTTGTTAACAGTTCTCTCTGCCTTGTTTTCACTGACTTGCTGCTAATCTCCAATTAAGCATTTGATAGTCTTTTGAGATGTATCTATAATCCACTGTTTTTTTTTTTCCCCCCAAGTGATTCTTTATTGATGATATATACTTTTAAAAGATTGAATGGCCTTAATTGATTAAAAAATAAGTACTGGATTTCATTCAGTGGTGTCAGTTTGTGACATTCCAACATGCATTGTATTAGATTGATTCTGGTTCTTGCTGTTTGTATTTAGGGTTGTAGATAAATTAAGCTGCGTTTACATGTGATTGATTTTCATGTCCAACACCCAAAATTCTAATCTCCAATCCCCAGCAACGAATGCACTTTTGGCTTTTGAGTCTGCTAATTAAGATTGGGCTGTTGTAGCAAACAAGATGTAGTTTTCTGCATTTAATCCATTTTGTAAATTAGCATAATGTATAGTTTAGCTTTAAAAAATGGCTCTGCTAAACGTTTGTTTTCTAATGATTATTACAGGCCATTGGGATCTGAAAATCTCCTTCTTAGAGGGGCTACACTGAAGAACACGGAATACATTTACGGTAATGGATTAATCTGACTTAACATTTCATGGTTTATGATTTTAAAGCTCAATTACGTGCTTTCAGAGGCTGTGTTAAGTTGATAAAACCTAAATGGGGCATAACTGCACTAATACGTCATTTGTGTCACCGTTTTCAAATATGAAGAGATCACGTTGCAAGCGTATTGTACTTAAAATGTTAGTATTACCATTTTATAACAGTTAAGAGAAGCTTAATAGTTTTTTTGAAACAGTTTTGCTGTGATTGCATGTAATTCTAAATGAAATATCAAGCAGGTACAAAGTATTTATGGAATATGCACAAATCATGTTAAACCGGTAAGTGACAAGTCAGGGTTTCCATATAATGGCACTTTGCCACTTTACTTTTGCGTAGCTGCTGTCTTTTGCTGTTTTGCCATTAGTAACTCTTGACTTTAGTGCTTCTGGCTGGGTTGTAGTTAAGTAGCACAGCCTAGGTGCAGTATTTCTCCTGCTGATCCACTGTTTTCATTTCAGCTGTCGCCATCTACACAGGCATGGAGACCAAAATGGCCCTGAATTACCAGTCCAAATCCCAGAAACGATCGGCTGTGGAAAAGTACGACCGCTGCCAGGACTTGCCGTTTTTCCCCTTCTAGAGTGTTTTGGATTTACCTGCAAGTAACATTGCACTGGTTTGAAAGTTAGCTCTCAAATTTAGTCTCCTCTCCTTTCATAAAGAGACATGCATTAAACAGATGTCGGATGGAACATGTTAATTGATTGCTTTTCACTACAAAAACTTAATTCAGGGCATTACTGATTTTCATCATGGGGATTATATGTAATGTATATGAATGAGGCTTTGGTTGAGAACCATAATGGCGCCGGGTGGCACACTTTGGTTAACACATTCAATGAGAAAATCCGGTCGTGGGGTGGCCGTGATTTCTAACGTGCCGCGGAAGTTGGTGAAACAGCATGTTTTTCATGACTCGGTCACTAAACCCCAATGGACTGTTGTTATGTTTGTCTAATCCAGGTGACAGAGGAATTATTCAGTCTTTTTTGTGAGCCTGTTTCTTTTCCTCAGTGCCTGCTTCCCAAGGCCATTTCCTCAATTAGCATTCCTATCTGGACTGACTGTCTCCCAGACTACAGCAGATTCTCACAGACTGCCTGGTTATGATTTCAGTTCCAATTGAGCAGTGGACTGTGCAATCAATCAGTGTGGTCTCTCTGATGCTCCTGGTCCATTCTTTCTTTAACCCTTTAAGTCCAAGCCTGATTTGTCACAATCAGTAGTGCTCCCAATAACCACTGTTACAGATTGCCATTATGGAGAGTGGGAAGCAGTTATGTAGGAGAGTTAATAAGGCACTATTGGGATCAGCTCTTACAGAAGAGTTTCGAATACGCTAGTAAAGACTGAATTAACATGTTGAAAATCTGTCTTCAAAAACCCTTCACGTGGTCGTAGTAGTAAAAATTGTATCTTAATCTTAGATTCTTTTAAACCAGTGGTTCCCAATCCTGGTCCTGGTGACTCTCCCAACTACTGGTTTGTGTTCTATCCCACCTTAGATAATGGAAGCTTTACTCGATCTAAGAAGTTGCTTCAATTCTTAATATTTGGATTTTATCTCCCTTAACACAATGGTTATAGCTCCAACACTTTTAGGTCTCCCATCCAGGTACCAGCCCGGCTCATACCTGCTGAGCTGCAGTGGGTTGCCGATTTGTGAGTTGCTGTGTAGCTGCTTCCCACCGATAGCTGGTGTGTGCTTGAGTGTACTGTGCACACTTTGGCTGCCTTTGCATCCTCCATTATTATTATTATTAGGGCTCAGCTAGAACAAAAACCAATGAGGTGTGTGGGTCACCATGACCAGGATTGGGAACCTCTGTTTTGAATTAAAGCTTAGTCATGCTCATTAATCTGCTTCGCAGAATGCAAAGTAAGATGAGTCTCATAGCCAGGAATGTGCCAGGCTGTGCCACTCACTGCCTGTAGCAGGGCGAGGTACTGGGAGTAGAATGATTGTTCAGCTCTGGAAGTTTATCTTGGTTACACAACAGTAACCTCTTACAAAAATAAAAGAATGAGTGTGTAGCAGAATTTTGGAGGTTTTCTCCTCCCACTGTTAAGGTAAGAGGTGTAATAATACCACTGAAGTAGAAATTGGAAGATTTTGAAGCTTTCTTTCCAGACGGGACAGACCTGTTATCTTTATCACAATGACATTTTGAGAACAAGGTGTCTAACATTGTCCCATTTTAATTCCAAAAAGACAGATATCCGTGGTAGCATTTGATGTGCCAAAGACATTTAAATAACTTTAGAGAACATACTGTATTGATATGTTACATACTGTAGCTGTTAAGATTGTCTATATTTCAGCCATATCCTTCATGAACATTTCTAGTACAGTAGATTGTGGTTTTGTGTTCCACAATCTGTAATTTCACAACACCACAATGTACTAGAGATGTTTGCACAGGATACAGCTGTAGTAATTGTGGAGCCTCAATAGCCATTAAGTCTTCGATACAGAATTTTCTCTAAACTTAATAAAATAACACTTTGTGACATCAGATGTTGACACTTTATTCATATTTTTAGAACTGAAGTGGAGATATTACATTGAGCATCTTGTGACCTGTATTTGGAGCCACATAGAATAGTCCAAATCCATTTCTGATGGATCTGTATGAATTTTTAATTCCAGGAAGCCAGCTGCAGTTTTGTTTAGCTGGTACAGTACAGTATTTACTGTATGTACTGTATGTTGCCATGCCTGGATCTGACCCATGCTCTGCTCTTTTCTGCTTTCCTTCTCAGGTCCATGAATGCTTTCCTGATTGTCTACCTTTGCATTCTGATCAGTAAAGCTCTGATCAACACTGTGCTGAAATACGTCTGGCAGAGCGACCCAAATAGGGATGAGCCCTGGTACAACCAGAAGACTGAGTCCGAAAGGCAGAGGAACCTGGTACGTCAGTCACATGCAGTTTAATCCCTGCCGGTATCTGTTGAATATAAAATGAAACTTTGCCCAAATATGAGTATACTGTATGCCCCTTGCTACTGTGTAAGTTTTTCTTCTAATATTATACAGCTTGAGATGTTCTGCACTTTTTGTTTTGGATTTGAGGAGCTTCTTGCTGAAGTAACTGGACTATACTGTAAGATTGAGAAATGTATGCGTTTTCCCTGTAAATGAAAGCTGTATTCTGTTCTAAAATTCCAAAGAAAGAGTGATGAGATGTTTTTAGACATTATAACCCATTGAATTGCATTACAAATAAAACTGTAAGCTGGATCAGGCATAAACACCTGAACCTTGTTTTCTTACAGGTTTTACAAGGTGAGGGGTGCTTTACTGTGGAATTAATTCTCGCTTGAAGTCCCTCTTTCTGGTTCTTTTGGGTTACAGTTTCTGAGAGCTTTCACGGATTTCCTGGCCTTCATGGTTCTCTTCAACTACATCATCCCAGTGTCCATGTATGTCACGGTGGAGATGCAGAAGTTCCTGGGCTCCTATTTCATCTCCTGGGATGAGGAGATGTTTGATGATGAACTAGGGGAAGGCGCACTGGTCAACACCTCGGATCTCAACGAAGAACTGGGGCAGGTGGGACAATGAAAAGCAGAGTTGCTCTATGCGTTAGTGAAAACAGCTGTGTATTTAAGCTGCTGATCTTCGTGGAACTCCTTGAAAATACTTGAGCACACGTGCCTTGGATTTCTTTCAGATTTTAGTACCTTACATTTTGGACCACGTGTTTCTACACTCAAGAGCACCTTGAAGTATCCAAAATGCGTGAGATTTCTCGATTCTCAGTGCCCCTTTACTGCTGCGAGTTAAACGGCAATCAACAAATGTTTTACTTTTAACGTCACTTCCATCTCTGCTTCCAGTTTTGGATTTTCATGTCAGCCCCTATTGGTTCACAGCCAGGCAAATGGAGCAGAAAGATCTTTCACAAAAATGTTGGATCTTATAACTGGATTTTATAAGACTGTCTAAAGGGTACTTGATCTCAGTGATCCAGCACAAAGGGACCCCTGCACATATCAGTAGTGGGGCGATGGAGACGCGGTCCTGCGAAGCTGCATGAGTTATGTATGAATGTCAGGAAGAAGCACCAGCCTCTGCTGCAAATCGCAGTTCTGACATTCTGTAACATGCAAAGGCACCACTAGTAGCAGCTCTGTATTCTGCAACGCAGTTCCATTGAACTGCTATAAATGGCGATATAAGCCTAATATTGGAGAAGCTGACACCCACAGTATCAGGTTATGCATGGTGCTGTGTATAGTATAAAGAATTAATGACGGTGCATTTTTGTGAATGAAAAATCTTTATGGAGGGTAGAATTTTCCTTTTTAATTTTTTTTTTAAATCCTTTTTACAGGAGCAGTTATTTCTGTTGTTTAGGAGTAGTTTAGTTGGTGTTTTATGTAGATGGGCAAGTAGTATGTTTTCTTTTTCAGGTGGAATATGTCTTTACGGACAAAACGGGAACACTGACGGAAAACAACATGGAGTTTATTGAGTGCTGTGTCGACGGTCACGTGTACATCCCTCATGCGATTTGTAATGGTCAGATTCTGCCTGGCACTTCTGGTATTGACATGATTGATTCCTCTCCAGGAGCGGGTGGGAAGGTAAGTGATCCAACAGCCTGGATCACTAGCAAACGCTTCTCTTATCTACAGAAAAGCATTTGTCTGATCGCACTGTGGACATCCTAATGCAACAGCAAGCTTACAACATGAGCTGCAGAAGTTGGGTTATTACTTTCACTGTCCTCGTGTTTTTTGTTTAGGTGTGCGAGACAGGTGTAGGATCACTGATTGGCAGATTGACGCTTTATTTACAGTGTGAGGAAGAGCAAAAAAAACAAAACAAAAGCCTACGCTATCCTTAGATCCTCTAGCACGACTTCTTTGTGATTTGTCTCTTTAAACTTAACCTGGCAGATTAGCTGCTTATCCCCTCTGGACCCATTCCAAAACTCATGTGTCCACAAAAAAATTCCACCATGTGCTCGCTTGGTTAGCCAGTTGGATGCTTTCCGTGTTAGGCCAGCTACCATGTATATTTCCTTCTAGACTAAAGAAGAAATTAAAACCCTTTGTGCCCCCCGCCCTCCAAAAAGAAGGAAGGCTTCTGTAAGATTTTGCAGACATCTGTGAAACCCATCTTGGCTTGGAGGCCAAAGTTATCCTTAAACGAATGAAGCACAGTCAGATTTGATACAGTTGGAAGCAAAAGTGCTTAGCATTTTTTGCTGAACACTCATACTCCTAATCTCCTCATTGGAACATGTTGATGGGGAAGTAAATCCTAATGGGTATACAGTCCATTACCGAAGTTGCTTGCAACAGGATTTTAGGCTTCATCAGCCCATAACAGCTCTGCTTGCCCTGCTGTGTCCCAGAATGATCTGGGGATGAAGCTGTACACACAGCACACCGTTTACCTTGTCTGCATTCACGTCTGATCTGCTGCTTCACGAGGTGTAGCGCAAGAAGTTGTTTTCCGTGTGAATGTGAAGACTTGAAATTAAAATGTGCTTTACAGGTGTGCTTCCCCTATCACACAACTTTACAGCTGATCATCATATATCAGATGCAGTGAAACAGTATCAGAAAACACGCGTTTCAGGTGCAATCTGGGATGTTTTTCCACCTGTACTTTGATGGGGTTTTTTTGCTTTGTATGAGCACTGTTTTTTAGGGTGACTTTTATTTTCTGTTCACTTGCCCAAGTAATTGCAGGATGGTTGGTTGAGTTCATTTCTACCACGCTTTCTTTCCCAGAGAGCATTTTTCTGTTGTGTTTTAAACTGGTTTTAGATGTATATTTTAAGCCAGAGGGTACGACCCCCTCAGTAAGTACCTGACATGCTTTCCCTGTGCCCTTTCCCACAGGACCGCGAGGAGCTGTTCTTCCGAGCCCTGTGCCTCTGTCACACGGTGCAGGTGAAGGAAGAGGAGACGGTGGATGGGATAAAGAAGGGCCTCCAGCAGAGTAGCAGGTCCTCCTCTGTCTACATCTCTTCGTCACCCGATGAAGTGGCACTGGTGGAAGGCATGAAGAGGTAGTCCTAGCGCAAGAGCTTGCACTAACCAGACATGGGAGCTGCAAGTGTCAAAATGTGCACTCCACCAACTTGCTTGTTTCTTTTGACCACAGACTGAAATCTAAAATATATATTTCAATATAATTTATGAAGTTCGTCTTTTTTTTTTATTCTGCCAGCTGTGATGAAAATATCTGTGTTTGCTCAGGTGGTCCTGAGAAAATCCACAGAGTGGTGACCTACATTATCAGCATCCTCCAGCTAAAAACTCTATTAATAATGCCAATCTGCAGCATGGTTTAGTTTAATGCATTTTAAAACACAAATATCAATGTCTTGATCTACGGGATAGGGCATTCTCAATCAAGTGTGCTCCATTTTTGTATTGTATGTGCTCATAATATTAGCCAACATTATGAAGAGGAATAATTCAGTTCAAGACATCAGTTGTGTTCTTTAAAATGCTTTTATATGGATAAACATAAGGATAATAACAGGATAGTAATTGTGTTTTGTAGCTTGTTATGCACAGATTATTATACTAAGTTCTTATTATAAAGGTGCTGCTGTTTTGTCATGAGCGTATCTTAATTGGTGTTAATTGGGGAGTTCTAATGCCAGATAAGAGCAAATCCTGACCAATTAAGTGAGACCAGGCTCTTGATTGTCAGGAGATTGGCAAGCCTTTCCTGATTACGGTTAGCACTGCATGTATAGTGTCTTATTCTTGCCACTGCTATACTTTTACTGAAAGACTGCTGACTACTGTGTTTTTCATTCCAGTGTCATGCATTTAGCACGTTTCAAAACTGTTTCATCTGTCATTAACTGTGTTATCCTTGTAATTATTGTGTTCTCTTCCACTTTCAGACTAGGCTTTACCTACTTGAGGCTGAAGGACAGCTTTATGGAAATTCTAAACAGAGATGATGAAATAGAAAGGCAAGTGAACAGCTCAAATGTCTTGTCTTAAGCTACTATCTTTCTATCCATTTGACCATCTGTATCTGTTTGTCTATCCATGTTATACAGTAGTTTGGGCGAAAACTCTTTTAGTAGTGAAGATTGAGCAAGGACACTAAGGCGGGTCACGCAAGCTCTGTGCTGCTGTGTTGTGAAAGTCTAATCCTAAAGCTCAAACCAACAATCTTTTTTTTTCAGGTTTGAATTACTGGAAGTGCTGAACTTTGATTCTGTTCGAAGGCGAATGAGTGTTATTGTTAGGTCCAGCACAGGTATTTCATCTAGTTCTTCAAATGTACTTGAGAAGTTAATATTAAGAACCTAAAGATGATTTCTAGTCACATGATGATGGTTGGTTTTTAATCTCACTGACTGGTTTTACCAAGAGCCATCACTTGTTCTCTGCTTTGTAATGCATTAACAGACAGTTTTTGTTGGGGAAAACATCTTGTTGGACTAAGGAACTTTTTACAATTTTGGTTTGATTTTAGTTTTTGCGCATTTATTTCATATTGTTGATATAAACAGTAGCAGATCACTGAAGTATTTTTACTTGGTATATTTACCAAGATTTACCAGAGATTTCTTTCCGGATCTATGTCATTGTGTAAATGTATTACTTTATTATGGAGTGTCTTAAAGCCCTATTTAGTTTTTTTTGTGGTGAAACATTAAGCATTAGCCTCCAAATTTCTTGTATCTTTAGCAAAAAGAAATATTTACAGTAACGTTTTTTATGATATCCCAAAGGATCTTAACAGTAAAATACTACAGGTCATTTTAAATGGAAAATGTAATCCAGATTTTCTTTTTATTCTTTATTGTAGGAGAATATTATCTGTTCTGTAAAGGTGCAGATTCCTCAGTATTTCCCAGAGTCATCTCAGGCAAAGTGGAGCAAGTCAAAGCAAGAGTAGAGCACAATGCTGTGGTAAGATAAAAGTCTGATTTTATGTCAGGATGTTAAGGATATCAAGTATTCTTTAACAATCTTGAATATCAACCAAGTGAACCTTGTGAACCGTTAAATAATTCTCACTTGATTGTGGCTTTTGAAAGATTTTACAGTGTCCGCTGCTTTTCTATATTAGTACTGTATTTGTTAAGTGTGAGGTTGGCCTACAGCAAAAGGTATAAATCATCCCAATCAAGAGATGAAGAATTGCCATTTGGAATTATCTTTCATTGTGAGTTGCAGTTTCATGGTTTGTTTCTGCCATTGTTTGAGTTGGACTCGGGGAAAAAAAAAAAAGAGTCATTGTTCCTCTCTGGAACAGTGGCGTAACAGGGATAATTTGAAGTAGTTGGGGAGCCAGCATTATCTTTCCTTAAATTTGCTTGTTAATGGAATAGTTCTTAATTAAGGGATGAATTTGGATTTGGTACTGTAACGTAAAAACACAAGTTAAAAGGCTACAGAGAAACAAAGGCTTTTTAAATTGCCTTAACTTTCTGCATTTTTAGAAGCAGTTATTCACACAGTCATGCCTTTTTAAACCTGTGCGTTAGTAGTGCTTGTTGTTCTGTGTGCTGCACCTTGACTTCATGTGTAGATGATGAAGGAAGTGTCTAGAACGCTTTTGCTCTTGGTTTTTGGTTGCAGGAAGGCTTGCGGACACTCTGTGTGGCCTACAAGGTGCTCTCACGGGAAGAATTTGAAGAAGTGTGCAAAAAGCTTAACAATGCTAAACTGGCTCTGCAAGACCGGGATAAGAAGCTCGCTGAGGCCTACGATGTCATTGAACGCGATTTCATTCTGCTGGGAGCAACAGCAGTGGAGGACAGGTACGTTAAAGGAAGAAAGAAAAGGTTTCTACTTGACGTTCTGTACTGTATGTGTAGCTCCTGTTCCAGTTTCATCTTTTTATAGCATTTCACATAAATGTAGAGGTTTCAATTTCACTCGCTGACAAAGGTAGTTATTTTTACCACGCTTGACTGAGAACTTGCTAGACAAATGCTACTGTTTTAGTGAAGTGATTTAGATTTCTAAAATTTCTCCATAATTTTGGAGTAATCCTTGGTGGTGGTCACTTTGGATTATGCATTCATGTGCTGCTCACTGTCATGTTGTTCATATTACTGTGCCACTGGAATCCACTGCAATACCAAGTTTGTCTAAAGTGGTGAATGGCCTAATCATCTCTGAAGATGCACATCAGTGGATTAGCTACATATGAACCGTTATCTACAAACACAGATATATCGTATGTGTTCACCTGCTATGCTGTTCTTTTATCTCTTCTGTACCAGGATTAAAGATCCTATTATGAGTACCAGAGTCTTACCCACCACAGGCTGTTATTCCCACAGTGTCAATAAATAGACAGCCTAATGGAATTTGCACTAATTTTCCAACTCAAATCCCTGCTTTTAATTTTAGTTCTGTGCCAGTAATTAAGTTTAAATGCATACCAAATCAATAACTTGCCCCAATTCAGTGCTGTTCCTGTCAGTTAATAACTAGCTAAAGTACTTACAAGACCCATTGTATTGATTAAGGAAGTGTCCGGCCGCTGTTAATGATCTAATAGAGTAAACCCTGACATTTTAAAATGAATCTCATTTATACCATGTTCAATTGCTTTTAAGGTTGTGAATAATTGTACTGAGAATGACCTTTATAGCATAGCATATTAAATAAAGGCGAGTTTATTGTTAAACTGTAAAAGGATGTTTATGGAGATGAATTTGTTTGGGGTAAACTATTAATGACACCTAAGTAACTGTATGTAGGGAATCTGGTAGATTTCTAAAATGCTGAGATGGAGTTTTGCATGGATTAATTCAAAATGAGCTTGACCTCAAATGAATGGCTGTTTCAGAGGCAATGAGACCAGGAATCAACAACACAGAGAGCAAGAGATTTTGTTCTACTTTGGCAGACATTACACAGCACCTCTCTTTTAAATGTTTCCTTGTGTACCTACATTATGTGTTTTTTCTCCTGCACATAAAATAGGGATTTCATACAAATCAAGAAATCTGACAAGATGGAAATAACATCCGTTTGTTGTCTTCACACTCTTAAACAGCGGGGAAGGCAGTTTATTTTGAAAATTGTGTACATTCAAGAGTAGGAGGGATTTTTGGGATGCTCATTATTAACTTTCTCACTATGTCAATACAAGATACAAGTAAATAGCATATTACTCTACAGTATATTGTTGTCCCATTTCACTTGACTTATTGTTATTATTTTTCAGGCTTCAGGACAAAGCCGCCGACACTATTGAGTCCTTGCACAAAGCAGGAATGAAAGTGTGGGTCTTAACGGGGGACAAAATGGAGACCGCAGCTGCTACCTGCTACGCCAGCAAGCTCTTCAGGAGGAGCACCCAGATCCTGGAGCTCACCACCAAGCGGACAGAGGAGCAGAGCTTGCATGACGTCCTCTTTGACCTCAGCAAGACCGTCCTGCGAAACCATGGGAGCCTCACCAGGGACACATTCTCAGGGTCTCTGTCCTTGCTCCTTGTCCTTTCTCCTTCCTCCAGTGTAGGAGCTCTTCCAGCAGGAAGAGCTGCTGTTCATTCCAAGTCCCATCCCTTTAGTTCCATGGCTTGTATCTGGCAATTGAATTTGAATAAACCTCTGGATGTTTTTTGGGGGGCACTATCCCAAGCACTGGTCTGTTTAACACTTTAGTGGGCTGCTTGGTTTTATCTTGAATGAGCTCGCCACTCGTAGTTGTCCAGAGAATGAAATCCTCTGACGTTATTGATTGTGTGATGCCTGAGCGTATTTTGTTGTTTTTCTTTCCTTGAAAGGGGCGGGGGTGTGTTTGTACTGTGGAAGCGTTTCCCAGGGTTTAGAGAAGGGGCTAATTCCATACATCTATTTTCCAGCCGCATTATCCAATACAGGGTTGTGGGGGTGCTGGAGCCTATCCCAGCATGCAATACACCCTGCATGGCACACCAGTCCACTGCATAGCTGAGAGTCATAGATGCATGCGCTCACACCAGGGCCAATTTTCCTAGAAACCAATTCACCTCCCAGTATGCTTTTGAGCTGTGGGAAGTTCCATTCAGAGAGCACCTTAAGAATCGAACCCAGGGCCCCAGTGCAGCGAGGCAGCAGTGCCAACCACTGTGCCACTGTGCCACCCGGGAAGGGGTTAATCATTTTTTCTGATTATCACATTTCTAAATGAAATTGTGAAGGGGAGAAAACTACTATGCATAGAGCGACATACTGTTTATTAGTCAACCTCGGGGGAATCTAGATAAAATCTAGAATGCAGTAAAATCCCAAATTTCTGTTGTGCTATTTTGTCAGAATTAGTTTTTTCCAGAGTGTGAGTGATCGGATTGTAAAGTCTTATTCATGCCCTGGGGCAGGATGCAGCCTTGACGTGTGTGAATTCACTTGAACGCACACATCTCCGTTCAGTAATCAGCACTTATTTTCCATGGCCTCCAAAATACAGTCTCTAAATTTGATGTTATTTGCCACAAAAAAAGTGGAAGTATTTTGTCATGTGGATGCAGATGAAATGGAAAGCAAAGTCATTAGAGAATATGGCACTACTTTGTACCGCTCAAAGGCTAAGAAGGAGCAAATAACGACCATATCCCTGCTCTCTGTTCTCTCTTGGTCATGAACGAATGTCACCTACTGTATACACATTTATTTTATGTGATTGTGGCAGTCAGGAGCATTGGTCCTGTAGGTTACATTTGTTCATGAAGGAAAACACAATGATTTATTTTAAAGTGTCATCTTTTTGTGTACTTTGCAATAATTCTATGAGTGAACTGTACAGCAGGAAAGTTCCTTTTACTGAATGAAGTTGACCTCCACCCATTTTGTAAATGTGGGGTTTTACTGGAAGTCAAGCTATTATTTTGGAATTGGTGGAATTGTATCTTTTCTGTATTGGAAGTGCCACTGTGGTATTAACTGTAACGTGAGCAGTCGGTACCAAATTGTAGAGTAGGTCTTCCCCTTCCAGGTTTCACCTCTTATGCATGCGTTTTATCTTGCCTGTGTTTTGCTGTTAATCTGTGATATTATTTCCCTGGCTCCAGGCTTTCCCAGGAAATTCAAGATTATGGTTTGATCATCGATGGAGCCACCCTGTCTTCGGTCATGAAGCCAGCGGAGGATGGCAGCTCGGGCAATTACAGAGAGATCTTCCTGGAGATCTGCAGGAACTGCAGCGCTGTGCTGTGCTGCCGCATGGCTCCATTACAGAAGGCCCAGGTCCCTCATCGCCGACTCTACTACACTCTGAACACATTGGTTCACAGTCCATTATGAGCGACCATGGGGTTCTCGGCAAAGCGAACCAGATTTCGCTCTGCTCTGAGCATTTGTTAGTTAATAGACTACTTCATTAGTATTAATGAAAGGAGCAGTGTTGTGACTACTCTGAAATGGATTGAGGGGTCAACATTTTGAAAATCTCTTGTTTGATGCTGATATAAATTGACAACTAGTTACTTGGATTGGTAAATGTGATGGATTAGCTACCACAACTCTTCATATTGGCTGCTCGTGCAAATTTACCTTTAGTGCTCGCATTTTTGAAGACTGCTTATAATTTGATTTTAGGGTTGCTTAAGCTTGTTTTCTTCTCCCATTAACTTAAGCTGTATTAAGTGCAAGCTGTTATCACGCATTCTGCACAGCGGTGTGTATTGATAGATCAGTTTTTGCTAGATTGTCTCCACTTTGTAATAGTGGATAAAAGGATTTTCTCACTCATCTGATGGGGGTATATTTTTTTGGGGGATATTTTGATTGTATTTGAGGTATTTTACTTATTAAATGCACCTAAGTGAGGGTCACTCAGCCTTTGCTCCTGAGGATCAAGGAATGCATTACTGAGTGTTTTGTTTCTTTTAAGAGCCCTCTCCCTGTTCATTGCCCTTGATACTTCCTGTCACAGAAATGCATTCTAGCAAACTTTGACGAGCTATTTTTACCATCTCTGATGTGGTACTGTCCGAATCTTTTACTCAGAGTTTACCACTTTATTTTGTGTTACTGCTGCTGCTGCTCCCTGTCTGATACAGGGCTGATGGGAAGGGAAGTGGGTAGAGGCTGCAGAATCTTTTGGACAGCCTTCAGGGCGTCAAGTTGTGTCATGTGGATGAATCAGATGAAGTTCACTTTCCCCCATACTGTTAAGAATGGTGGTGGTGTTGGCATTCTGTGCTTCGAGAGGGCAGTGTAGGGGACTGCAGAAAATCATGTCTTTTTACGATAGACTCTAATTGGACGTGCCTTGGTGTCGTTAAAGCCAAGTTGAACCAAAGTGGTTGATGCTTTTGGTTAGGGAGTCTGCAGCCATTAATTATGAGCTCATTACCACAGCTCAGGAAAAATTGAAATGTTCTTGCTCGTGACAAAACAATTCAAATCATTTTTGCATGGATTGTGGTAGTTGTTTGAGTTATATTTTTTAAGTTACAATGATTTTAGCTTTCTTTTAGTGTGTCTATTCTAATACCATTAATGACCAATTGGGGGTTTTAATGTCAGACATAACCTGAATTTATCTTAAGGCCTTAAGGAATAGTTATACAGTTGCATCTAATTACAACTGCAAAAGTGATTTACTATATATACACCTTCCTATCAATTGTGTGAAACATCATCCTGGTCAAAAATGCTCATCAGTCTTAAGCACATTTCTGCTTAGAATAGTTAAGACAAAGTTAATAATTTGCTCAAAGATTGATGAAGTGTTTTGGTGGCAAACTATTTTGTAGCGAAGCTGTCCCATGACGCAACACGCGATAAAACAAGTTGTACATCATGTTGTTCTTGAAAACGAAACTCAAAAGATGTTTATCGTTACAGATTGTAAAACTGATCAAAGCATCCAAGGAGCACCCCATCACTTTAGCAATTGGGGATGGAGCCAATGATGTTAGCATGATCTTAGAGGCACATGTTGGGATTGGTAAGTTATTCTCTGGGGATTCAGAAGGTTATCTTGGTGTAGGTACAGTACATCACCTTTGCTCCCTTTCTCTTTATTGTTTCTGTTCATTATTCCTTTTTTCTTTCCTTCTTAATATCTGAAAATTTGGGACATACCTGAAAGAAACAACTGTTGGCTGTCACATGAATGCAGTGCTACTGGGTATTGAGTCATAATATGCTCTTCCTTTTCCTTACATAGTTGTCTGCACTTCAGAAACCAAACCACTGTTCTACATTGTCCATTCAGTGTACAAGTGGAAAGCGGTCATGTGTTTTGACAATGAGTTTGTCTTTCAGGAATCATGGGAAAAGAGGGCCGTCAAGCTGCACGGAACAGTGACTATGCAATTCCGAAGTTCAAGCATTTGAAAAAGATGCTACTGGTGCATGGACATTATTATTACATAAGGATAGCAGAGCTTGTGCAATACTTCTTTTACAAGGTGCGTGACCACTACTCTAGTGCTCTGGTGTCATACATTTATGTTGTGTGAAAAGGTAAAAAACAGTCCTTTCAGTAAGGAGCGAAAAAAGAAAATATAGACAATGGCAACAAAGCCAATCACTTCCTCCAGGTTTCATATTTTTTTCTGAACCATAAAAGCTACTTTTCTTTACCCAAAAAGCCACATTATTCCAGTCAAAACACAGAACACCTGTCAGGCTTGAACACTGATAAATGGACAGTTGCGTCAATTGCAATATCTGCACAGGTTAATTAGAACAGTTGTCAAGGGAACACAAAGGAGGGCCGTGAAGCTCCACGTGGCACAAGAATGCATTATGAATCAAAGGCAGTTTTGCTCACTAATTTGTAAGTGCTTATTGGAGCCTCTGTTAGTGTTTTTCTGTCTTGATCCATATGAATTTCTCATGTTTGGCTTTTTCCTTCCCATAGAATGTCTGCTTCATCTTTCCTCAATTTTTGTACCAGTTCTTCTGTGGATTTTCCCAGCAGGTTGGTATTCTCACAACCATTAAGATCATTTACAGTATATTATTTTCCCAAGTGCCCACACTGTCTGGTGTCCCTTAACAAGGTAGTTCTGTACAAATGATCTATTTATACTTTTGTGGATTATGTGGCAAATACTGTATGACCACCTACATTGTTAAGATAAAGGGATCTTTGGTACAAATATGCACAAGTCACCTCTTTCATTGTCAGTACCCCATGGAATGAATTAATCTGCTTTCGAATGTAAAATATTTGAAACGTGCAGCATGCTCTTTTTGCTTCTTGGTTTTCAAATTTGTTGTATTCTCCCTTATTTTCTCTAACTGTCTCTAATTGGGTTGTTTTTGTGTGTTTACAGCCATTGTATGATACAGCATATCTCACACTGTACAATATCAGCTTCACTTCTCTTCCTATACTGTTGTACAGTCTGATAGAGCAACATGTTAACATGGACATTCTGAAGAGAGACCCATCACTGTACAGGTAGGTTTGTCAGGAAAAATCCTTGCAGAAAGTATACTGTACAGTATGTACCTTAACTTGCAGTTGTCCGTTTTTTCCTCTTACATCTCAAATTCTACTTTGTGTTCGTACTTGTTCAGTGTTTTTCCATTTGTTTTAGATTATTATTTTTTTTATTATTTCACTGTTACTCCGCATACAAAATGCTCATTGAACAGAGCCTTAGTCAAGCATGAGAAAGAAGTCAGGATTTGTATTAGCCCTCCTCAGGTCCAGACCACAGGCAGGTCTTCTGCACGGTGTAATGCCAAGCGTCCTATCTACGGTTTGATTTCAGACGGAGATGGCTTTTCAGGAACTGTTTTCATTGATAAAGAGTAAGCTTGGTAAAGTGGATTCTAAGTGGAAGCTATCAAGAACAGTACAGAAAGCAATCTGTAGATGATGAAAGCTACTTGCTTTCCAGTGCTTGGTATGTTACATAACCTTAACTACATGAAAACTCTCCAGATATATGCTGCATTTATCACCACATCGTGGGATAATGTATGTTTTCCATTATTTTTGAAAATATTAATGGGGAGTTGCGTCGGTGAGCGGGCTGAAGGCACAACAGCTAAATCATTGGTTTTTCTTCCTGCTTTCCTCCTTGTAATGAACCTTTACTTATTGCTTATTTTGTAAACAGATGTTTCAAATAGTTAGTGTCAAATATAATTGTATATCATTTATTATTTCTTAGGTTGTTTGCCATTCATATTTATTGGTCCTACCTGATTGCCATTTTCAATCACCTGGACTGCTGCTAAAACCAAGGGAACATTTCAGAATTTAATTGTCATAACGGCTGATTTTATGAAGATTAAGTGGAAAGGGGTCACTTTCGCCTTGTATGTGTTTCCCAGGCAAGCCCTAGAGCAGAACGAGCTGTGAAGTGGCAGTGGTTTTACAGATCGCTTGTCAAAAAAAGTACATCAATTGGTGACTGTAATGAATGAGTCAAAACCAGATGGTTGTCTGCTTTGATAACCAAACAGATGGCTGTTGTCTTAACGATGGAAACCTATGCTTGTTGCTACCGTATTGCATCTCTGGCTAGAAATATCCTATATAGACCAATATATCGTTTGAAAGAGCTTAGTCGCTATGTTCAAACAAGCCCAGAGGCTCTGAGCACGTACAGTATGTGCAATGCTGGAGTTGAAAACTAGTTTCCTGGCAGTTAGGGATGGTCTATTTGGATTTTGATGCTGAATTTTAATAAAACTTCAAAAACACAAAAGAGAAAGATTAGTTTATTTTAGTTTTAAACACTTTGTTGATAAATGCCAAAGTAATTATCATTGATATATACAGTATGTGTTTATTATTATATTTACTTTATTACTGTGGCTTTGAATTGTGTTATGGAGGTTTGAAAGAAGCACTTGCTGATTTTATAGGAGTGGTGTTTTTATTGCAGGGTGAACATTCCTGAGGTCTTTCCTCTTTATTTCATGCTACATTTTTTTTATTCTGTATTTTGCTCTCTTGTGTACAGTCAGTAAAAGCCTACTGGTGCTGCAAATCTGATTTTGTTTCCAGCTTCTGTTAATGTTTTCAAAAGTAGTTGCTTCAAACAGTTATTTAGGTGGTGCTAGTATTACATTGATGGTCAAAGTCTCCATGTGAAATATCATGTGACTGTTTCTGTTTCTTACGGAGCTGCATATACAGTAGTGTCCGTGGGCTGCAGAAAAAGCACAGATTTCACAATTACTGTATCTGCTACTTATATCTTTTTCTATGAATTGGAATCATCCTGATGCTGGATTCAGTTTTTTTTCCCCATTATGGCAAAACATTGGCCCTGTAACTGTTGCAGTTTGTATTACATGAAGTCATGAAGCAATGGCATTATTTGCTAGTGAGGTGCATTAAAAGAGCATTTATTTTTAAACGACTCGCCGAAATGCCAGGGGCAAAGTCACGACCTGCATGATTTTATCCGTATTTCCCAGCTGTTATTTATTCTGTTTTGTCCCGCATGCTATTTAACACATTGTAGAAGGAGGTTTTTTAATGTCATTTCTGTTTTTTTTTTGTCTTTGTAGTCCTTAATCGCAGTAGCGTACATAAACTGGGCTTTCTGTTTCCCCTTTGTGTAATTTCTTGTCTCTGGTACTGTGTGTTATAACTTCCACATTAAAGCTCTTTCACTCTCAAGGAGGACGAGTGCCAGGGAAACAGTGCCAAAGAACTAATGAGCATTGATGCCGAAGACACAAAATCTGACAAGCCACCTTTTTTCTGTTTTTTCTTTTTGGTCCTTTAACCTTCTTTCTTGCTGAGGAAGCTGTTAACTCAACTTTCTACACAGCTTTCACCCAAGAGTTGGATCTTTGGTGAATTTGCACCTTTTAGTTTGTTACCTGTCCTCCATTCCTTTTCTTCCTCTAACATCAAGGACATGCCATGATCACCTACAAGACTTTTATTCCATTGAATGAAATATGTATGTGGTATTCACCGACATACTGTACCTTTTACTTGAAAATCAAATTTAAAATGACTAGTAGCTTTCTGGTCCCAAAAGATGAGATAGGTTTGTGTTCTGTTTAATGTAGCTCCTTTAAATGCAGCTTGCATAATCCAGATATTGCCAGTTTGAATCTGGGCTAAATAATTATCCAGGATTCCCCAAGTGGTAACGGATAATTCAGGGCCTGCTTGTGATATCGCTGACAGCCACATCCCTGACCCTCCTGCAGGCTACAATGTTTGTCAATCAGTATGCTAATGAAACTGTTCTTGTGGTGTACAAATGTGGTTACTATTTGTCTTTGCTTGGATCATGCTCTTAAGGTTACAATTCTTTTATAGGCACTTAATCAATCTCTTTTTATATGTGCTAGCCATAAAAAAAACAAAGTGTCTGAAAGGAACAAATGCTGCATACCACTCATATATGCCTAGCAAAGCACTACATCAGGCATTCCAGCATTCCTGGCATGCTATAATTTGGAAGACTTTACAAGTAAAGGGCACAGTCTTTTCTGAAGAGTAAGGAATGAGATCTCATACCGTATAATTCCAAGTTTCTGAGTCGACTATTTCTTCAGGTTCTGTTACTACAGTTAAAGTATAACTCTGAAAATACCAGCTCCGTTTGTGCACTGCTTTTTGTTGCACATTCATTGACTTCCATGGTTTTGTCCTGTAGAGTCTCATTGCCGTGACGGAGCTGTAGGCTGCCTGTTCTGTCAATTTCACTGGAACACTTTTCTCATCATTCTCCACAGGGACATTGCCAAGAACTCCCTCTTGCGTTGGCGGATATTTATTTACTGGACATTCCTTGGGGTCTTTGATGCAGTGGTCTTTTTCTTTGGTGCTTATTTCCTGTTCGACAACACCACTTTTACAAGTAATGGACAGGTAAGTTAATTTTTTGGGAGGCTTGTATTTTTTTTTTACATAGATGGGGTCATGGCCTGTTCACCTTAAATGTTTTGTCTCATATACATGAGATGCATAAGAATACTGATGGCTGTTGTAAGATCAGTAGGACTGTTCTGTAAATCTTGAGTTATTCTCTTTGATATTAAATGACAACTTTTATACAGTGTTCTTCCTTAACTCTAACATCTCAAAACACATCAGTAGCCGTAGTAAAACCAGTACCTTAGCAGTGCAGCGTATTACTGCGTTGTTTATTAGCTGAAGAAAGCTAAACCAATTCAGGTGTATATGAAGTCACTGACGGGCCATTCATGTTCATGTCTACTTTACAAAAGCATGTCAAGTTGCAAACATCTTTCTTTATATTATTTACATCATATTAACATTTTAATTGCTGTTTTTGGTCTGTTTTTTTGGTTTTAACATCTTAATTTCTTTACTTTTTTGTCTTGGTTTTTTTTTTCCTTCGCATCTTTTGCTTCTCTTCCTTTCCTCAGCTAATGACTGCCAACACGCACATGGTAAGCCTGTCCCCTCTCGGCCTGTCATCCTGTTTTATTTCATTTCACTACTTCTCCTTCACTTTCCTTTCTGTGCGTAACTTCAGTAATCTGGCATTTTTGGCTTTTTCTGTACACGTTCCACCAATTCCCCAGCTGATCTATATACTCCCCGTGTCTTCTCATTTCATTGTGTAGTGTATTTTAGGCCTGTATGTTGTCCTGTGTGTTCTATATGACAGTGATTTACAGGTGTCTGGAATAAATATTTTGTATTCTGTACGAACATTTTACTTTTCATTCCTTTCGACTGTGAGGATAAAAGCATACTTTGGGAAAGGGTTTTTTTGTTTCATCGGTATTTTAGACTTTCCCTATGTTGCCATCCAAATTCAGGGTTCTACTGTAGGTACACTCTGAAATAAATTCAGAACCTGGACTTCATGGCTTCGATCACTATTCAAATAATAGTTTCTCCAGCGTATTTAGTGAAAATGTCCTGCCTTTTTCTTGTGTGCATGACAAAGAAAAAAAGGTCAAAGTTCAGTGAAAACCACATTAATATTTGATTTAAAATGAGCCTGTCAAATGGCTCTTCAAAGGAATGGGCTACACTTGTGTAAATTAAATTGTGAGTGGCTTTCCAATGGCTTGCGCACAAAATCTGATGTGAGCCCAGTCTGCAAGCGAGACACAGATGGGGAGAGGCTCGGTTTGCTCGCTCGAGGTGTAGCTGCTACTACTGAATATACGTTGATATTCAGAGTTGTCAACAAAAGTTCAAAAGTGTTTTTTTATCAGGCAAAATCAAATTGGCTCCCAAGTTGCAAAATTTCTGTTGTTCCATAGAAAGTCTTAGGAATCATTCTGTAAGGACACATTCTCTTAGCCTGGGTTTCTCAAGCTGAAGTTCTTTTTCATGCTTGGACAACAGTGGTCACTGTCAGGTGGTTGATTAGCATGTTAGGTTTCAATGACAGAACGGAGAGAAAATGAGCAAATTTTCATGACTGAATGGTATCTTTTAAGTCCAGTCATTATGGTTAGTGATGTAGTGTTCTTCTTTCTAGCAGGTTCCTCATTGGTTTGTCATCCTTGGCTGATTGAAAAGTCCTACTAGGGTCCCAGTCCACATGGGTTTTCCTTGGAGTAGTAGATTAAGATGCATTGATCCTGGGCACTTCATCACTGGAGGTGTCAAAGATGGACCCAATTTATAATGACATGAAATGCTGCTAAGCAGAGAGGCCCATTTCAGATGCATTCCTAAAGGCTTGAATCGGTGAAACCAAGCTGTGCTAGATTATTCTCCATTAAAGGCAACAGAAAGAGATAATGTTTGTACTAAACTTGCTTAATGCCTCATTATATCCATCACAATAAGCTTTGCTGCTACAATCCTGTAGTTTCAGAGGAATACGGTAGCTCGGACAGGTTAATGTGTCGATGTTAATGTGGTCCTCATTCTGCAGTTCACGAGCTGTAGCTATAAAACGAGATTAAAACATATGGGATGATGTACAGTATGTAAACAGTGCGGTGGCTCTGTGACTCGGGATCTGCGCCTGTGGCTGGAAGGTTGCCGGTTCGTATCTCGCGGCTGGCAGAGAATCCTACTCTATTGGGCCCCTGAGCAAGGCCCTTGACCCCAAGCTTCTCTCCCTGTCTGGTGTCTCATGGAGAGCAAGTTGGAGTATGTGAAAAGACAAATTCCTAATACAAGAAATTGTATATGGCCAATAAAGTGATCTCTTATCCCTGTATCCCAACTGCATTTACAGATTTAAAAAAACTAAAAAAGATACATCTGGTATGAAAGATTGCAGTTGGGTTAAGGGGGATTCTTAGTAAGAGCAGGTATGTACTAGTCTAGATTGGCATTTAGCCAGGGCAACTGTTTTAAAACCCCTACATAAAATGGCAAGGGATCTCTTTCCATGATACCGTGGCTAATTTCCATTCTGGGCCCTGATTGATTTATGTAGATAAAAGAAAATGATGTCATGGTGTCTGATTATTGTTCATGTATTTCCTTTTATTAGATGTTTGGGAATTGGACCTTTGGGACTCTTGTGTTCACTGTTCTTGTGTTTACTGTCACTCTAAAGGTAAGCAGTCTCAGCTTGTTTTCACATTTGTTTGCAGTGTTTTTAGCAGAGTCTCAAAAGAGGAGGATTAGTAAGCTCTATAGAAGGTACAAAGGAAAATCGAAAGGTTTTAGACAAAGTACAATATGAGGCAAACACCTCACAGATCATATTTAATGTAGACAAGTGCAGATTATTACAGGCAGGTAACCAAAAAATATAGATTGGGGGGGAGTAAAATACCAATCTAAAAAAATCCACCAAGACCAGCTGTGTTTGTCGGTCCATCATTTTAATAAACAATGTGGGGAACAAGTAAACAACATTAGGGTATAGATTGTATAATTATTGTATAATTAAATAGAAATTAAACTGGAGGATGGTATGTTATATTAGTACAATGCCTTGGTAAGGCATTAAAAAATGGTCAGATCATATTTAGAATATTGTGAATAGTTTTGGTCACAACATTACATGTTGCTCTGGAGTTAGTTCAGGGAAGAACAACCAAATACATTCCCAAACTTAAAAATGCCCTTGACTTATCAACTAAAGGACAAGTTGACCTTTATAGTCTTGAATACAATAAGTATTCTAATACTATATACTGTAAGTCAACCTAATGAAAAGTAACAACAGGAGGCACTATTTTACAGTGTTGTGGGGTCTGGAGTGATTCACCCTAGTTTCTTTCAAGAAACAGCTATCTGGGATCCTTGGATCAATTAGCTACTGGCAACCAAAGGGGCTAGATGTGGCAGCATGAACTCATTTGTTACCTTTTTCTTCTTGTGTTTGTACAGTTTTGGACATAAAATTCGTTTTTCTAAGTAACTGTTTGTTAGTTTACCAGTTTTTTTCCAATCATAGTCAAATGCTAACTGAGTGCTTCTCTGTTGTAGCTTGCCCTGGATACACATTACTGGACCTGGATAAACCATTTTGTCATCTGGGGATCGCTGCTTTTCTATGTTATTTTCTCCCTGCTGTGGGGAGGTATCATTTGGTATGTAACATTCTGGTCGGATAAATTAGGCGAACTAAAAGAGGAGAGCTGCCCTTTGCTAATGGAATGGCGTGTGACCAAGGAGAGGTGTGATCACAAGTACAGAAATCTGATTTGAGCCATTTGCTGTGGAGATTAAGTAAGCGGCATGTGGCCGTTAGTGATAACATAAGTGAAGGAGGTTCACTTGAGCACCAGTACATGTAGATCTGTAGCACAGTTGTGATGCAGTTCACTTCAGCCCCCACACTCACCGGTTCCAGATGAGATGGAACCCAGCAGAGCTCGCTTGACTTGATTACCCATTGAAGAGAACCGGCTCTTCTCCCAGGGTTTGTTAGTGTCGCCCCCTGTTAACCTTTAACAGTCGTTCCGTTTCATGAGTGGCAAAGGTATGACAGTATGAATACATTCACAGTCTTGATATGACGCCTGGGGTGCAGAAATGTGTTGCTATTCCACTTGAAATGAGCTTCAAATGTAGCAATTTGCATATTTATAAATCTCTACAAAAAGCGCAGCAGAAGATAATGTGCACAGAATAATTGGTAATTGGCAACTAATGAAAAAGCCGAGACCTAGGGAATGCCATTTAACTGTTCTGTTCAGATGCATCTTCCTAAAGTATCTGTAAGACTGCAGCACTGTTTCTATTTTGAAGTCCTTTCTACCTGCTACTGTTCCATATAAGGCTTGTTTCAGAGTGTTTTCAGAGACAGTTAGTGTGTAACTCAAACAGGGTGTGAGATTTTGAGTTGAGCTGCATTTTCTCGCCATAATGCTTTCTGTGTGTCCTGGATTACATGCAGGCCTTTCTTGAACTATCAGAGGATGTACTACGTGTTCATGCAGATGCTGTCTAGTGGTCCTGCTTGGCTGGGCATCATTTTGCTCATTACGGTCAGCCTTCTGCCAGATGTGGTTAAAAAGGTGATCTGCAGACAGCTCTGGCCCACCACGACAGAACGCATTCAGGTAAGAGCTCTGTCTGTTGAATGGCTTGTCCTCAAACAGAGCCAGATAGTCACGTTTATTAGGCTGAACTCAGTGTGTGTGTATAGCCTGATGCTAGAGGCTACACATACTAAATAGGAATATAAAACAAACCAAATCTAGGACGGAAAGTTAATCAAAATGAAATCTTATCATGTAGCAACTTGACTACTAATGGAAGCATTGGTTTTATTTGGTTCTTTAAGACCATTGGTGCTCTTTAATAAATCGTTTGCACTTCTCTTTTGTGTGTCAGATTGTCCATTTCAGAATTTCACAATTTGGGGTATCCGCAGAGTAGAATTGCATCATTATTTTCCAAAGTATGCATTTTAGGGAAAACCTTTTTCAATAGAGTAATGTGAATTATTTTGATTATTCACGTATATTGAGAAGCATAACCAATTGGTCTTTAGATTTCCATTAGCTCTGGATATATACCAGGTGCTCTTGAAGTAAGTAGCCTGTGTTATATGTGTGAATTCCCTTTATACTGATTGTCTGCTGTTCTTGCCTTTGGATTTGCATGTTTTCTTCTTATGTGAGATACAGTAGTGTTTGTACAGAAGGTGTTTTAAAGAGTGAGACAAGACTTGGTGGATTTTTGCGGGCCTGTGTGTCTCTGTGTGTAGAACCCATTCTGTCTCACTGTTTCCTCTAAGAATGATCTAATTATAAGAATTAAACTAAGAATTATAAACAATAATGTAATTTTTATACATTAGCAATACGTCCACCCAGACATACAGTATATGTGACATATTTTAGTGATATTCAAGTCACAAAACACTGAGAGATGAAAGTTTTGTTGATGATTGATTATGATAATGCGACCACCACTGGAACAGTAAATGGTACTATGTGTCTGAATACAGTACCTTGAACATAAAACTTTAGAAAATGTGTATGCCTTAAGCAAACTAAGTCCAGTTCCTAGCCCTTCTGTTGCTTTACTGAGAGATAATGACGGGCCAGGACCAACAGGACCAACTCAGCATCTTTCTGACCTCCTGACTTTTTCAACACAACTTCCCAACCCTGTTCTCCCTTCAGAACAACCCAGTGAGAAACGGGTTCCTGCTTTCTCTCTGTGCTGAGACTTCAAAAGTTAACACTGACCTGCATGGGACAACAAAAAATTGCCAGGACACTTTTAAAAGTTCTGCATCTACTGTACGTGTGTAGTTTAAGCACACAATGTAAAATAAAGCATTCAGAATGCATGAAGGTTTGAAGTGTGAGGTGATAATGAAAAGAGCACCAGTCCTAGCAGTACAAACATGCAATGCACCAGTATTTTACAACAAAATCGTTTTTTTTTTATTTTGCCAGAGACTTTCAGTGATGCATATATAGTGGATTAACAGAACACAAGGATATCGGCCAAATACAATACAGTGCACTTAATACCAAATGCAGATATGGCCCGTATTGTGCTGCATGCCAGACAGACAAGTCTGCCCATCTCTCCATATACAGTACTTGCCATCAGTAGTATATTTGGTTTATTGGATTGCAGGAGGCCTGTCAAATCTGCAAACTGATTTTCATCTCCGTTTATTTGGTTCTAGCAATAAAACCCAAAAGAAGGTTAATAACATTATTTGAAACCTCTTCAGAAGAAATGCGTTCATGTGAAGAGATTTTTTTTTTTACTGGCAATTTTTGAGGGTGATGAAATCTGTGCGTTTGACTGCCTGAGTCACTGTTAACTGGTTTTATTCCCTGTGTCTCTTCCTTCTTTCCTCGCTCTGTCTCTCCCTGCTGACCCCAATAAAACCTCTTGTTGCGTGTAAATAACCACTGGTCACGTGTGCCTCCTGCTGTGTCCCCGGGGGAAACAGACAAAGCGACAGTGCCTTTCTGTTGAGCAGTCCACCATCTTTATGCTTTCTCAGACTTCCAGCAGTATAAGTTTCTAATGGACCAGGAGGTGACTTTTCTACCTTTATGTATGGTGGCATGTTCTGACATCATGGAATACCACAGGGTGCTGTCAATCTGCGTCTTTAGTGTTAGAATTGGCATTTCATAGAGTAGAATAATCATTCAAGGATTCCCATATGTGTAATAATAACATATATTTAACACGTACTGTATACGTAAAACATATAATTAGTGTAGCATGTAATGTAACAGGCTGGTGTAGTTAAAATGACCTTAGCAACATGAAACAAGTTCAAATATAGAGTTATCAGATATCTATTCTTCTGCCTTGTTTTATGTAGCTTTTACTGTCATCAGAAAAATTATATCTGCAGATAAAAGGATTGTTTTCACAGCTTTTTCCAATTTTCTTTAAATTTTCTTAGTGTTTGAATACTAAGGTAACTGTTTAAAAATGTAATTTTGAATTAGCTTAGGTGTAGTAAGAGGTTTTTATTCTTATATTATCTTTGACTTATGATTACAGTCGACCTTTTTAGTAACTCTTACTAGGTAACAGTACTTATGTTGAATAGTGGGTTTGATAATCCATTTTGTCTCCTCCTCCTAGTTCTTTTATTTATCACCATCTGTCAAAACTGTATACAGTCATATACTATTTACTTTATACCCCATTTTGCAAACTCTGCTTTACAAAACTGTGAATGGATTACACATCCACATTCACCTACTACTGTCACTCAGTTTCAGTGTGTGAAAAAGATTCTGCTTCTTCCATACCTTAAGTACAGTATTTGATTTTGATAGTTTAAGGTATCACTACCACAACTGGTAGTTGTAATAATAAGAACTAGTTGTCAGAAGCATTGATGGTTCATAATGAAGGCAAGTGAAATATTTTACTCTTCTATACTGCATGGCTCTTCAGTGACTCAGATCAGAGTACCCTGTGGTTTCTTTGGAAAAAAAAAAGGTCTCTTTGTCTCTTCAAGTTCAGTGACATTGTGCTGCATGCTCTGTGCTGTAGTCTGCATCATATCCCAGAATAGTGTCTTCATACCAGGCCTGTATTAATCAAAAAAACTTATACTCATTATACTTTTTCTGTGTCCCTGGCAAAACATTTATGATCAGGAAGCAATTGTGGACTCGAAAATGAGTTTTGCTTTTAACAAGTGGTGTGTCTCAGAGAGCAGAAGTGAGTGCCTCACATAAGGGATGACTAAATCCAGCTTGTAGCTCTGAGCAGGATGAATGACTTTAAAATAGCTGTCAGGTAATAACTAGCAAATCAACAAAAATGTTTTTTTCACATGCTAAATGTGAAGCAGGTTTTTCAGGACCCAGTTGGTCACGTTGTCAGTGCCTTTTTTTAAAACTGCAAAGCTTGGAGTCTGACATGTTATTTCTACAGCTGATTAGCAAGAAAAGGTAATTCATTTGCCTACAATGTACATTTTGTTCCAAGCCTGATTGTACGAGACTTTTAAAAGTATCACTGCTACCATAAGTTTTATTAATTAAAGCCTGGTATGAAAAGTCACTCCTTGATATGATTTTATTTGAAAGTTATGGTTGTGTAATTTAATTTTATGAAGCGAGTTTAGAATTTTCAAAGTGTACAATAATAGCAGGTAAGTAGATTGCCAAAGAATTCAGTTTTCTTTTCTATTTTACATTTCTGTCCGAACTGGTAATGTATACTGTTTGTGTTCTTTCTTATGTTCATTCTTCTATCTATAAAGCTTCGTCTTAAATGAAAGAAACTTGCCCACTCTATTTATTTTTTTTTATTTTCAGTGTTCTGAAAGCATTTTTGCTTAGACTGGTTTCTGACATGAAACCTATCTGTTAGATCCAAACCACCCTCTGAAATTGAAAAAGTCTTCTGCGATGTGTCAGGAGATTAATCGAGGAAGCAGTTTTGTGCCATAATTTTAAATAAGGGGCATGGAGGACTTGTGGAAACTCCAATCTGTTCTTGCTGTATCGAACATTCCCCCTGTGTTTTTCAGATGTACTGTAGATGTAGGCACTGGTCTTGATGAATCCCTGTATTGACATGTATGGAAAAAGACCAAAGTTTAATGCCTCCGTTTGTCATCATACTCTTCCAAAGAAGCTAAGGCTGATCATGCTCTGATTGTGCAGTGTGTCTGTATACATTTTCCTCTCACCAAGAGTACAAATCTCATTCATTTATAATCCAGTGGTCCCAGTGCAGACAAAAAAGTGGGTTCTTCTGCAGATGAAGCAGTCCACAGCAGAGCCATACTCACAGGAATTAATGTTTTAATCATGAACTTGAGTTAAGAATACTTTGATAGCCTGTCCCTCAAGATGTGTCGAGTTCAAAGACGTGATCATCTCGTGAATTAAAAGAACAAGTGAATGTTAATTCCACACTGAAGAGTAGAAAGAAGAAATGCAGTGTTTTGGTGGTTGAGCTGTGAGGGAGTGAAAGAGAGAAAGGTAGCAGAGATAAAGGACAGATCAGGTGAGAAAGTGTCAAATCGAAGGAGATATGGGGTAAGGGTGTGAAATTCTGTATATTAGTTGAGGAGTTTAAAAAAAAACGAGTATCACTGAGGAGAAGTGAATGATGTTGGCTTCTGATGTTTATCCTTTAAACTAGATCAAGCTTTCCTTCTGTTTTCCTCTGCTTTATATCCCTGCTACCTTCCTCTCTCTCCATCATGCCCGAAGAAAGTTCTAGAGCTGCAACATTTTCTTCTTTCTACTTTTCAGCATGAAATTAACCTTTTAATTGTTCCTTTACAGCCAGTGCACAGTGCTCCTTACTCAAGCTAAAAGTAAACCTTATGTAGTATTAATTTAGTTTTATTTGAGTGTGTAAGCCACATATTCCATAGTCTAACCTCCACCAATCATATCACCATCATATAGTATAGATGGACTGAGTTTCGTAAAAGGTGTTCGAATGTGAGCTAACGATGGCAGGATCAAGTTCTTGTGGCCATCTAAAATAATATCATTAAATATGGTATTACTACATTAATCTGTATCCATCCTCCATGTCACTTCTACACAGTTTTGTGATTTTGGAGCAAAGTATGAACTAATTTAGTTTAATTTGTCTGAAGGCGTGTGTTTTGAGTGAGACTGAGAGAGGCTTATTTTTCCTCAAGCATCACTTCCTCTCTGGCTTTGACCACAGACAAAGGCTAAAGTGGACTAAGCCCTTGGGAGCTGAACTTAGAATCTCAGGAATGTTCTGCTTGAAATACTTTTCTGCAGACCACAACATTCATTTAAGAATTCAGTGTCAAAACAAGGTTGTGTTAGCAAGTGACACCAGGCATGAGAATATTGCATTACAAGCTATGATATATATTTGTGGCCATAAGACCTTTACAGATATTTCAGCATACTGTGCCCTTATTACCTCTTATCTCATAATGTGTCCCACATCATCAGCTTTTCATTCAAGTGATGCTTGTATTTTGTGTTCTCTGTGCTTTTTTGCATCTTCTGGAGAAGTAATGAGAACACCTTCATTTTAACCTTGTTCCCTTGCATATTGGATGCAGCATTGAAGCTGATTGGAAATCAAAGTAAAACTGTGATAATAGGGAGAGTGCAAAAAAAACGGTCAAATGTTTTCCGCCCATTTAAAACTAATTTCCTGTCCTGATTGAAGAAACATTGTGGTCTCAGTGTTTTCCCCCCCGTCGTTTACAGAGGATTCGGGCAGATAAAACCTTTGAAAGAGTTCACACACACAGCGAGGATTCACTTCTTGAGGGATCCCCGTCAACGTCTGAGGCATAATTATCCCAATGGTAAACACTGGGGCTGCATTGCTCGTTTCAGATGGCTTGCTGTGCTGTATTGTGGGGCTGCAGTTATTCCTTTTCAAATTTTCCCTTTTCCATCCAGAAGCATCTGTACTTTATAGCTCTGGTAACACATATACACACTTTCCTTTCAGGTAAGTAGCTTGGTAGGTTACCTTCCACATGTCTTCCTATCTGAGGTCTGCTCTTGGTTTCTGCACTGATCCGATGGCCGTATTTGAGAGGGTACAGCTCTTGGTGTGAGGAATTCTAACCCTTAGGCAGGATTCAGTACGCCTGTCATTAACATTGACAAAATACGAAGTGAATTTTAATCCAAAGGCTGTTCATTTCCAGACAGATGGCTTCTAAATGATTGAGAACTCAAATTTTGTAAGCACAAAATGCACCATGTGAATGAAGTAAGTTTTGGGCATTTTTTGTTATCATGTTTTTGCATTTGACATCACGAGGTCTGTAAATTTCGTCTAGTCTTAATGGAAGGTTTACAAATAATTACAGAGAAATGAATCGTATCAATCTCCAAGCACCAAGTGGATCTGCTGTGCCTCAATAACCTGTGAATCTGAATTTTGCTTCTGAAATAAATTAGTGGACCAGTTCAGCGTGATTCTAAAATAAAATGGGATGTTTCACGTTTCAACACTATTTCAAACAAATTCTACCACTGCCCTCTAGTGTTGGAACTAACGTTGTACAAAACTTTTTTTTTTTGCCAGCTGCGTGCAGCTTTGTAATGCTTGATAATTGAATCTGAGATTTTCTGAATGAAATATCGCTGGATGTTCCCAGCCCAGATGGATACATTTATGCAAGGCTGGTAAAGTTAAGACGGCGCCACGGCTGTTTTTGCTGAAGGATGCTGTCTAAAAGCTCAGCCTTTCACCACTTACTGTACATTGGATAAGCTTCAGATGCCCACTCGTCTGCCTAAGTCAACAGCCTAGTTCCTCATGGGGTCTGCTGTCCCCTGGCAACTGTGTTGTGAAAAGGCCAGCCTGACCGACAGCGCCCTCAGCCCATGAAGAGCTCCAGAACAACTGTCGGTGCTTCTCTTCTTGGAGTTAACTCCATAAAAATGACCCATCGTCTTGTACCTAGTTCTCTTTAGGTCGCTAATAGTTTTTAAAGGGATTAGTGAACTGGCAAAATAGTTTGAGAAGACAAATTGGTCCTAGTGGCAGTTTGCAATTCAAATTGTGTTCAGGTGCCAGCTGCTTGTAAATGAACAGTCCTCTGATTGTTGTTGTGTGAAACTGCATGTCATAAATGTTCGTATTGTTGGGGTTATATAAAAGAGAAAAAGATGTGAGTGGAATGCATTTCTGAACAATCTAGTCTCATTTTCAAAGCAAGCTGCAGTTCTGTCCACTTGGCCTGGGGCGCACAGCCTCTCCATCTGGTTTGTTAAAGCATGTTTTCTTTGTCCTGCGTGTATGTGATATGAGTCTCAAGTGTTAGCTCCTCTCTCTTGTTCTTCCCTCCCTACAGAATGCTGAAAAACTGTACCAGGGCAGTATCTCCGAGTTCACACCCCTTGCCTCGCATCAGAACCCCAAACACAAGAGCGACAGTTCCAGGAACCCCCTCTCCAGAAGGTCTGAGCGTCTTTCCAAAAAAATGATGTACACCCACTGGGGGGGAAGCGACTACTGCACTTTTAACTCCTTCTTCGGCTTTTCAGATAACTCTCTGACCTCCGGGACGAGATTCTCTCACAGCGGGTCAGGCCTGGAGACCTCAGTGTAATTTAGACTTCCCTTACTCTACCCAAGCCTTTAAAAACACACACCGAAACCTTGTGCATTGTCTTACTCTCAGAGCTGGGAGGTCCATTTCAGCTCTGAAGGATTGATAACGTTTCTGAACTAGATCCTGGCCTTTGGATATGTGGCCGAATACTCTGGGCTCTTTGTATTACTCAAGTGTAAGAACAAGACGGCGCAGTCTGGAACTGTGCGTCCCGTGGCAACGGCAAACCTTCCTGTGATTGGTCTGCGCAAGCCAATCATTTTTCCGTCTCTCCTCATTCTCTCTCCTGCCTGTTCTCCACATGTGATATTACTTGAATCAAACATTGCTGTCTGGAGCTTTATGATCAACTGTCTTTCTCGTAGCAAAAACAATGATACACGTCTGCAAATTCTGTACTGGATGAAACCTGTCTGTAATGTATGTTTGTAAACTGACTGGCCATTTTTCCTCTCTCTCTCTCTCTCTTTCTCTCTCAATTTTTATAGAACAAACTGGTGTTGCCTGTGCGCAAATCTTTTATCAAGAAACACACCTTAAGACATTCTTATCTGCTCATTGTAAGTTGCTAGGCCAAGTGATTTGACTAATTTTGCTAGGTTTTTCCCAGTAGATAATGATGTTGGTGTGTGTGTGCCTATGTGTGTAGAGTAGAGTCATGCTGTAACTGGAATGTCAGGATAGTGGGATGATTAAACCAGTTTATGCCCTTTATGTAGTTTTGGCACCAATTATAACTGACCAGCGAAGAGATTTAGTTTTAAGTGTAAAGTAGTAAAACTGTTAAATGGGTTAATTGGAGGAATACTGAATTAAAGAAAATTAGGCTTTTTTCAATTTTTAGTATAAAGTGCAATAATGATGTACAGTAGGAACAATCCCGGTATAAAACTTAATAGTCTGCATGATCAATTTAGTCTCTTGCTTAAGGTGCATTAAATGTTCAGTATTTTTTTTAATAGAACTTAGGGTGACAATAAGTGATCTGAATGTCTTGCTGTTACAGCACTATAATGACCACAGGACGGTTGGTACCAAAGTTAATATCATGTCATACAAGTTACATGATCGAGATGAAAATCTAAATCTATAGAAACCCTATCTGCGTGGCAGCCAGTTTACAATGCATCCATATTTTTGCTTCCCTATGTGTCTGTCCCCTGGCTTCAATAGCCTTGATGTCACGAACAGTATTCACTGGAACCTGTAGTTTATATGTCGGTGGTGTAAGTATTTGTGTGAAGAGATTCCTGCCTTAAGATCGCAACCTTCCCTTTTTGTTACACCTTAGACCGGAGCTTAAAGAAGATAAAAGAGAAATAAACATACCCCTTGTGTGTGTCTTCCAAGTCAATGCCAGAGAAAAGGCAGGTACTAGGTACTGGCCGTCCCTCCTTGTGACTGGTTTCGTCATCGATATAAGTAGTTGAATTGTAACCGAGTGTGAGACCGCGAACTATGTGTGAGGATTTCAGCAAATACCTAATCTGTGTTTTGATTAAGTTCATTGCCACCATAACTGTAATTTTCTTTGTATAAAACCTTTTCTTTTTCATCTCATCGGTTTTGCATTAGCACTGGTTATGGAATGCCAACAGTTCTGTATTTACTGCTAAAGAGTAAGGAAAGACGACCTGCCCTTTCAGTATTACTGATTTATGACTGTTTATTTTCCCACCTCTATTGTTTCCTAGAGCTCAAGACCTTAAGCAGGCCCCCAAATATTTCCTCGTATTATCTACAGTTCATAATGTTTGGCCATCTCCGATAGTTCTAAAGGATCACGGACAGGACTATTTTAAAAACTTTCCTTCCTAAAAAGGGATTCCTTAGACTGTCCCCTTCAATTCCTAGTTCAGATTTGATGTGCACTGCTTTCGAACCCTGAGCTGAGGCATTCCCCTTTACCAGGCAAAGTTCTTGACTACTGGAGTGACATTACTACTTATTTTTCCTGCTTCCAAATGCACCGTTACAAACATGGATCAAGAGCTGTTACAGTATATCAAAATCTCTTTCGGTTCCTACCTTATCCTTTGTCTTTTTATATTTATAGTTTTTTTTATTATCATTTCTGTCTTCAGGGTTTTAACAAGATCCAAGATGCTTAATACTCTAAATTAAGTTATTCGTCTTTAACCCTGTAATTGCATGTGGGATTAAATAAAAGACAATATACTCCCCTTCCATTCGGGAGAAGTGTGTAGGTGCTGTCCTGCCCAAACTGAAAGTGGGTCACAAGTTAAAAGCACTTTATCTGCATTTAGTCTTTGACGCTACCTGACGACATCCACTCGCCTCACCTGAGAACTTGATAGGCTCAGGAAGTCGATTTTTCTCATAGACAGCCTTGAGTTTTTTTTTAGTTCAGGCCATATTAAGAGAAGTTTAAAGACCTCAAATCCTCTTGACTCGACTGCCGATGGAAACACGCTAGATCCCCGTGATTCCCATCTGCTCTTTCTGTGTTTTAGTCAACCTTTGTGTTCTATCACAGGCCCCATGGGGATGTCATCTTCTTTTAACTAAAGCCTGCGATTTAGATATTGTTTGAAAATGGAGGGATGGAACCTTCTGTCTAAGGTGTTTGATCTCCCAATCGAAAGTTAAGGTCCTGGTGCTGTTTTTGATGTACAATATAGTTCATTTGACGAAAGAAGACATGAAATTACGGTGGTGGTCATGTAAAGAAAGGGAAGTACTACCTTTTTAGACTTGAGGTTCCAGGTTATTGTATTATGCCAGGCACATTCTGGGGTTAAGCTGCAAAGCCTGCAATACTCAGGGGCGGGTTGCAGTGACGTGGTCTTACAAGTTTTAAAGGAATGGCTATTCCTGCTGTCTATTGTTTTGCATATCCTCTCTCTTATCTGAGACAAATATTTGATGCTGTTCTCATAATGATTTACACATAATTTGTCCCAGTGTGGGTCAGGATTAAATGCATCCCGTGGATTTGTGGAGCATTAAACCCGGAAGTTTCAAAATCCTGTGAAGTGCTGCTTTGCATTATAAAAATAATTGCAAATATTTTCAGTCTTGCATTCATTTTTCTCAGCTCTTATTTCTTACTTTTGCTTTTTTCTTATTTCCATCCCTTAGTGATGATAAAGAAGAACCCTTTGCATGATGATTGAATCCACTACTCTCTCTCTGCCTACTAACTTTTCAGCTAACCTGCAGCTTCACAGCAGCCTTTCTGTTCATCTCATTTTACCTCTTTCCTGTGTCTGGGCACACAGCTAAAACAAATACTGACAGTGTATGCCAGAGCTGGAGAGAGAGGTGTTATAAGAAACCTCGAAGACTTGAAGGGTTATTGTGCCGATACTCTTAGCTATATCTGAGCAGATGCCTAATGGCTTGTACTATGCTAAATGAAGTAATATTTTGAAAAAGTTTTTCTAAGAGGGTCTCGTGAATATGTTCTGCCTGTATTTTAGTGTAGCAGAGCACTATGTCCCAGCCGTATTTCTTGGAAAATATTCCAGTTTGTAATATGAGATCATGTCATCCTTTGTTAAACTAGAAATGTGTACAAAATGTCAGTCATTAGTTATTAGCACAAGGTATTTGTGATGCACAGGAGAGCTAAAAGAATGTTTATGACAAATGGATGTGTGGGGATATATTCCCCATTCTTCAAGAAATGAGGCTTTTATTCATATTTAAATGCACTGCTGATGCTGTAACACTCCAAAAATTTTAAAGAAGTGTCAAAGATGCATAAAACTGGTTTTGACTGTAAATTAGCATTGACACGCTACCAATGCAAAAGTTTACGGAGGTAAGATGGGTAATGTTTTAGGTACCAAACATTACCATTGTGTTGCCTCTGTAGAAATTTTAAGAGCTTAGATTGTAAGAGTGTTAAACTGTTCAACACTGGGATTTAAAAACATCTGATTTACTCATCAGATGTTGACTTTGGGTTTTTTTTTCTTGTGTTGTACTTCATGAAGCAACCACTGAGTATTTTGTCGGGAGACATGTTATTCTTTGCGAAATATCCACACTCTTGCCCTGATCTGGATTTTAAAAACCTGTTGCAGCAGGTTAAACTTAGTTTGCTCTGTGTTTTGTTCTAACCAGCGTGTATGCACCATTAATATATTTGGTGCCTTGTTGGCTGAGTTTCTTTGATCAAGCAGATGTCAAATATGCTAAATAAATAACCTTGTTGATCTATATTACCAGGAATTGTGGTACAAATAAGTGTTTCCTAGCAGAACACACATCTATCGTCTTATATTTGTTTGCTATTTTAGGTTTTTAATACACCACTAATTCATTGTATCAGTACATTTTGGTTGTGTATAACCACCAGACACTGACTTCTCATTAATCTGGGTCTAGGTTCTTGGGAAAACGTTAAGAACTACTGTGTTTTGAAATCGTACCTAATGTTTATCAGTTATGGATCTTTTGTAATTCTTAAGAGAAAAGCTTTTTTGCTACTTTTGTATTTTACTGGAGGGAAGAAAGTTATTTGACCTATTTATTTAGAATGTCGGATTTCAGTTTCAGAACTACTGAACGTAAAAATGAGACATGAAAACTATTATGAAATAATAGCTTTAAAGTGCTGCTATTTATTGATTTTACTCCTGAAAATGGTGTATACACTGGTTTTATTTGTAAAGGACCTGTACAGTAATCCCACCATATATAACACTCCACCACTTGTGTAAAAAGGCACTCACTGTTGGGAATGGTGCAACCAGGAGAGTTTACTGGACCAGAGTTCTGCAGCAGTTGTCTACTCAGTCTGAATCTGTGCAGGACTGTAGTGGGCCTCACCCTCTGTCATCTTGCCAGCTTCTAAATTTCAGCAATGTGCTTTCTTCTTCAGTAAGTTGGCACGCTGTACTACTGTTTGCTTATAATTTGAAGTTGAAATGTATACAATCCAAGGTAAATAGTATAATGTTGTACAGTTTTTTTTCTTTTTTGTACTGGTATACAGTTTTTAACAGATTGATATCTGTTGATTTTTTTCAGTCTTTCTGTAGTACACTTGAGCAAGAAACTGTAAAAACCGCTTGTAATAAAGGAAGAACAAAAATACAGCCCCACATTTGTTTTCTTTTTTCTTCCCCTTGCTGAAAACCTGAGAAACGATCATATTTGAGCATTATAATTATATTTAGGCCAGATATCAGCTCAGGCTTACCACGATTAAAGGCTATGTAATGCCCATTTAATCAAACCATTTCTGAACCCTTGCTTGCAGAAATGCTGCTTTTCATTTTATCGTCAAACTGGGCCTCGGCCAACAAGAACCAAAAAGTGCACTATAGATGCTGAAAAATAATTTCTCCATTGTTTAAAAACTGTTACAAATATAAAACTGTTCATCATTGAGCCTGTAATTCTTTATCATATTTGATGGAAATACACCCATAATTGAGCCAATGCCAAATGCATGCAAAAAGGCCACTAGAGGGATCCCTTCAGAAGTGCACACGAAGGATCAGAGGAGACCCTGTGAAGGCTTTGCCACCAAACAGTTCAGAGTCAGGGTTGCTAGGCTCCAGCATAGGTGATGACCCTCTGTAAAGCCCCATCTTCTCTGATGAAGTCTGGTTCTTCCTCGCTTGGCAATGGTTGTACATGCATGTCTGCAATAACAGAGAGACGGCTGTGCAGTATCTGTGTTTGGTCTTCTCTTTTCCGGCACATCAAGCTGAAAAGCAAGAATACCACCTTGATTCTATTATGAAGCAAACGCATTTTCCCCAATCGAATCGGAAGGTCTAGAGCGTGAGCTGCATAATAGCACCTGGTCCTGAAGTCACTTACAATGGTCTCCTCGAAAGGGCACCATGCAAGCAGCCCTGCGTACAGTACCTCAGGATTGCCGAACAAGTCGGTGAATGATCTGCCGCTGGAACCAGCAGCCTCCAGGTTTGGGTTTGCCGCTCTAGAAACGCTAGCCTAGCAGGGCTAAAGTTGGTGTGGTCTTGTTCTACCTGACCTTTCAGATACCTAGAGCAACACATTGGTTTAATTGAGTGTTGAACAGCATTTCCCAGTTCTTTAGGGGCCTTAAAGGCAGATTTACAAGTTCCAGGATTATAGACTCCCAGAATCAGTGTTGATGCACTAGACGAATTTACAACCACTATAGCATTTGTTCTGGTTTGGTAAAAAAAAAAGTGAACCCATCCTATATTGAGTCACAAGCAACACAAAAACCTAATTCTGACACTGAATAATGAATTTCAAATGACTCCTGTCCCTCATCCGGGAAAGAGGACTGTAGAGCTGGTCAACACAACTCACGTTGTCCATGGCTTGACTGAACTGGAGTCTAATGTACAAGAAATTAAAACATTTAACTAGGACAATTGTCTTTGAGCCCTGAAACTGAAAAATACTTTGATGAGCACTACTATGATTTTGTTCAATCTTAATTTTAAAAATGAAATAATTGCTTGAAAAATTCAAATTTTATTTGCATTTTGTTTTTGTGAATTGGTTCAGGAAACAAATTTGGGAATCGAAACAGTAAAAACTACATAATTGACTATTAATTGTTAGCTACACGTTACCCTTTTAAAGCCCTGTAATCAGCTTTTCATATAATGAAGCCTTCTCATTTATTAATGAAGAATACTCAAAGCATAAAAGTAATGTCGTCCTTAAATGTAATTGATTGATGTATAAAGGCGAGTTTCACCACCACCACTGTGCGATATACATTATAACGTTATTGCCCCCTTTGGTCTTAAAATACTGCCCCATTAGCTGTTTACAAGAAGACTCAGAACAGGTGTTATTTCAGCAAGTCCCAAAACAAAGACCTCAGCTGCCTAATGACGTTTGAGTTTCTAATTGTCCTTTTAAAATTTACTAACGGGGAATCGCTGAAGTATCTGTATTGACGCGATTTAGAAGAAAATTTGAAATGACACAAATACCTGAATATGATTAATTAGCGTTCGTTATCTTTATAATACGTCCTTCGTAGTCTGGTAATTTTGTTTGAATTTAGCACAGCTGTTTGCTATTCACAGTAAATTGTAGCGGAATGCACTGGCAGGGTAATGTTAATTTAAAACTCTGAGAGCTTTAACAGCTAATACGTTGTAATTAACCGTTATGGGGCCAGATGAGGCATTTTCCAAAAGGTATTAATAGTAAAATAAGGGACGCTGATTCGCTTCCTAAGAAGAAACACAAGGTGGCAGTATACCATTACGTTTGTCTTAGTACACATGGCAGGTTAAAATGTAGACCATTTCCACCTCACACGCGTCCTGATTTCTAGTGTTTTGCATCCTAGCAGTTCACCTTCTGACTTCCACAGAATAATACAGTCACAGGTCTTTGTTCTCTAATGCTTTCATACAGCGGTAGTGCCATTTCTTTATACTGCGTATTAAGCTACCGATTTATGCGTGGTTGTACCAAAAGTATCCAATAACATGCCGAGATAAATTCCCACCATACAGTACTGTAAAACTAATTACAAAAGCTGAAGGTATAAAATGCCAACAAGGTTTAAATATACTCCAAAATAAAAATTAATGGATCAAATAATTCTAGGAAGGAATATGATAAATGCACTTTTGGTATCTGAAAGTCTATGTTGTTTAGTTCTTGGCCTAGAATTTGTACTGATTCTTTTTCAGCCACAACAAGGTAAGTTTAGAAGAAGTGGATTCACGATACAAATTATATAAAAAGTGTTCAGAACTGCATTAAATAAGGGATTTTGTAAATCAGTTTGAATGATTTTCATACAGTATACAGTAACTGTAAATCAGCGATTATAGACATGGCAAGTGAAGTGTTAAATAAGCTTTGAACAGGTAACACTGATATTGTAAAATCTCTTGGAATAGACCAGAAATAAGCCAAACACAAGGAAGTACTGTAGCATTTTTGCAGTCTTAAAGAAGTGCTATACTGAGATTTTCAGAGACTCTTTCAAGGCATGACGAAATTGCTGAGCTGAAAAGAGGAAGTCTAGTCTCAAAGGTTTGTTTTTACTTATCCCCTGAAGCACTTGCAGTGATTACAACAATACGCTTGTTAAAAAGTAAGGTATCATAAAATATTGCATATTAAATTCAACATTAATGCTTTTGAATGTCAACTGTATAGCCCAGTAGTTCCAAACCTTGGTTCTTGGAGGAGGAACACTGTCTCTACTGGTTTCTTTTCCAGCCACATTCTTAATCACATGCTAATTGATTTCGGTTTTTGGTATGTGACATGTTTATAAAATGACTTTCATCCGTTAAAGTGCCATATCCCATCTGTAATTAGTGTCATCCCTGTACCAGTCTCCGAGCTTCCATATTGCCCTCATTGAGGTGCGTTTCCTGAAAGGTAACCACCTGGACCTCTGCAGAGGGACAAACAAATGCTTACTGCGGGAGTGTCTGACAGAGCGTCATTCTCACTTTTGTCTCATTGCTTCATCAAGCGCTAAGAGCTGTTTATTCAGAAATAACAGCAATCAAGCAGTGGAGTGGCTTTATAAAGTTCTGTAAGCTGAGGTTGTTGGAAATGGTACCCTTGAAGTAGGGTAATTCTGACACTCAGGACACACCGAAGAAAGGTATAAACAAGCAATCACGTCAGTTAAGACCTCAATTAGCACTGGAGATGTAGAGCTCAGCAGGAGTCAAAACCAGCAGAGACAGCATTCTTCCATTACCAGTGTTGGAACCATTGATACTGTATACTGTATAGTAGCACAATTCCACAGGAAATGTTAATGAAACTGGAACATTCTCAGATAACCCAGTGAACGCACTACTGCACGATTCCAGTGATTCATGACAACCTTACTGTACAGCACTATGCTGAAGTGCAGTGAGTAGTGTAGTCAGTGTAAAGTCAGAATTATGGTCCTTGATAAAGTCCAGGGACCCCACCCCCCTTCCTACAAGTACATCCTGACAGCATTCCAGCTGGACAATCTTCATCCTGCTTGTGTAGTGGCTTTGTTGTGAGATGAGAATGTGACGTACAGTACATGCTGTGGTGCCCTACTCACCTGACTTTAACTCCATTGAACATGTGTGAGAGAAGCTGGGACATTAGGGGTCAGAGACCAGTGAGCAAACACATGCCTGTCCGGGCTCTACAAGAAGAATGGGGCAGCATACCGCCTGAACTTAAGAAACAAACAAGTCGAGGACCTTCCATCCATCTAGCTTGTTTGTTTGTAAGTAGCTCATCAATCCAAGGATCTCATCCGGCAGTTTCTCCAAAGAACCCAAGGCATCAACTTCAGCAACATAGGTGGTAGGTTGTTCCAGATCCTCAAAACTCTTTGTACAAAAATGTTTCTTCTGTTCTTATTTTTTTACACTGCCACTAAAGTTCTACTGAGTCCTCTAGTTTGTGTTTCACTGCTGATACTGTAGATTCCCACTGGGTTGACTTTGTCAATATCTTTGAGAACTCCAAAATGCTTAAAGTATTCTTCAAGTAGTTAAAGAATCCTTAAAATACCCTAATAGTCTTCTTTCTTAAAGACTAGATAGTGTTCAGTTCTTTTAGCCTGTCGGTGCAAGACATTCATTTAAGTCTGGAAATGAATCTGGTTGCTCTTCTTTGGATGGATTGCAGACCTACAATTTCCTTTATTGTAAGGTTGTGACTAAAGTTGTACACAATATTTTAAATCTTACCACTACGGCATAAGATTTTAACATAATACTCCTTAATTTTAATTGTTTTTCTTTAACTATACAGTGTGCTTGTCCACAAGATATAAAAGCTGAAAATGATATGTCAACATAAACACAGCTGAAGTGTTAAAGATTGGCAATTCCCTTTTTTGTTTTCCATGTTACCTGTTTGTAATATTTCTTACTTGCCTATATTAAAAGTCATCCATTTCCCTAGTCTTGCATTTTGTCTAAATCTTTTTGAATATTCTTTCCAGCTTTTTGTTTTGACAATCTTAATACTTTACTAGTTTACTAACAAAGCTAGAATATAGATCATTGACATAAATTATGAAAGGCAGTGGACCTAATGCAGACCCCTGTGGTACTCCAGTACTTACATTTACTGTAGCTCTTACTTGTGCTCAGTTTTCTAC